GGGCGTCGTGGCCACGCGTCGCTCTAGCGGTGCAAACCCACGCGGCGCAAATCGGACCGTCCACATCTTCACTGTCTTGTGGCATCGCGGGTTGCCAGGGAAGTCGGTGTCGACCAGATCATCCCAAGGCACACAAACCCGGCCACACGGCACGTTCTCTGCCAAGCGCGCCGAGTGGAAGTCGGCGCCGATCATAGGCCCCCCACGGCATGGTTGCCACGCCGTGCTTGAGTCATCCCGGGCCTCCGGGAGATCCATGTCTGCTTGCCTTAATTTCTGCACTGGGGCGCCAATGGCGGTCGCAAGCCGCGTAACGCACGCCCATTCCGACGTGGAATGGCACTGGCTTACGCCCCTTCCGTGCAGCGCGGCGCCCAGCTAGCCATGCCTGGCACGTGCCACGTCGGACAGTGCGCCGCCTTTACGAGAACACATGCACGGCGGCGGATGCATTGGGGTGTGCGTGACGCGCGGCAGCATCGTAGTCGCTCAGGACCATACCCGTCCGTTGCCCCGCGAGCCTGCTCATTCGCTTGTCCGTTCCTGCGTTCCTTCCTGCTCTCTCGTTCCCTTAGAATTTTCAGCTGCCAGTCTGTCATCGCGCCTGTAGGTTGCTCGACAGCCGATTGTTCGTCCAAGTCGGCACAGGTTCCACGTCGCGAGTCGACGTAGCAAGTCGGCGACGCATGGCCAGAGGTCGCCCGAGGGCCCAACAGCCGCAACCCATCCCACCCCCCGCCGACTCGGTAGACGCCGACATCAAGGCGCAGCTGGAACAGCTTGAACTCGAAGCCGAGTTAGACGCGCTTGAGCGAGAATTCGAAGAAGACGAAGACCGCCTGACGCTTCGCGCGTTCGCCGCACCCGTCACACAGTACCGTCTCTGGTTTACCACCCCCCGCGATCTCGAGGTCGACGCCGAGATAGACGTTATTGAGGGACATCTCGAGGACGACCGCCGCGCAACTGTTCGGGCGTACACCGCACCCGTGACTCAGTACCGGCAGTGGTTTAACAACCTCCCCAACGCACACGGACGACGGTAGAGCAGCAGACGTGTACCGACATGGCCGACGTCGACATGTCCGACGCTAGGCCATCCACCGACCAGGGTCCGACGACCACCGACCGCAGTCCGACATCCACCGACCACAGTCCGACACCTACCGACGAAGACAACCTGCAGTTACTCTACGATCTGGACAAGCTGACGCAGATCCCAGAAGGGGTGTTCACCACGGACGTTCCGCCACCGCCGATAGGGAAGTTCAACAAGAAGAAAAAACAGACTCCTACGCAAAATGGTCGGCCAGGTACCTCGTCGGCACCGGCCGCCCCTGGAAACCAGGTCGATGACGAGGACGCGGAGGAGGAGGGGGGGGAGGAGGAGGAGGAGGAGGAGGAGGAGGAGGAGGAGGAGGAGGAGGAGGAGGAGGAGGAGGAGGAGGAGGAAAGCGATGACGAAAACGACGACCGTCCACCTCGTAGCTCTAATCCGCGCACCTTGGACGAACGACTCAGGCGGGAACTGCAATTCATCGACATACTGCTCGACCAGGACGAGGACGAGGACCAGGAGAATTTGGCGGTGCCGCGCGAACAGTGAAGAGAGGCAGACTTCGTCGAGGAGGACATGGTTTACGCGTGCGTAGACGTGCTCGTCATGGACGCTCTTCGCCACCTGCAAACCGTGGAGAGGAACAGCACGCTGAGGCAGTACACCTCGTGGATCTATCACTACAAGAGGTGGGCGGCGAAGATGTTGAAGCAAATTCGCAACAAGCTTCCGCAGGAGTACAGGCTTAAGCACGTCGACGAGATAGGGCACTACATCCGGGAGAACAAGAAGAAAAACTGGGACCAAGAGGCCGATGTCCCCCGGTCTCACGTGTGGCTGCACGGCCCTAGGGTCACCAAGGACCGGCTTCGCGCATACGTGAAGTACATGATTCGGGAGTTGAACCTCGATGCCGAGTCCGGCAAGGGGGCCGACAACGCCACAGGAACACAGCCGGTGCAGTCGACAACGGTACACACGCTCCTCGGGCGCATAAAGGCATGCCAGATGGCGGCGAGAGTGGAGGCGACGCTCTTCCGGGAGACGGAACTGAGCATCATGAGGGAGATATCGGTGGTCAGGTCGGAGGTGCGGTACATGATCCGCACCAAGAACGAGCGGGACATCAAGTGAGTTTATGTTTTAACCTACGTCGACCACTCTCCTGCTGTCATGATCTTTGTCGACGCCGCCCTAAATACCCCTTGCCCATGGCATTGTTGGCAGGAACTGCGCCGATCGCCGTCGCGGAACCATCGGCGATACCTACACCGCCGAACAGTTCCGCCAGATCATGTTCAGGGTGCTGCCGGCGTGGGCGGCCAAGGCGTGGAACCCGCGGGGTACGGGTCCTTCGCAGACGCTGTGGAGGTTTCTTCTCTTGAAGGTGCTCACGCTACTCTCCCACCACTCTCTCCTGCGCGGTGCAAGCATCCGCGAGATCACTCTCCCCGACATCTTCTTGTACCGACTGGCGAGCACCTCCTCGATCAACCCGGAGAACCAGCCGGTCGTCATGGTCATCGGAGCGCGGAACTCGAAGACGTCCAAGGATGCTCGTCTGCAGCAGAGCTACGCCGCGCGGCACCTCGAAGCGGAATTGTGCGCCGTCGGCGAGACGGGCCTGTGGTTGCACTTCGTCCTCGATCAGATCGGTCAGTTTCACGGCGTCCGCCTCATTCCGCCGGTCGACACCAGCACACGCGCTAGCTGGTACAAGAAACACCTGTTCTTCGCCAAAAACGACACCGACCAGGGTGAGCTCTCTGCGGCAACCCACCAACGCTGGACGCGGCAGTTGTGGGACACCAACAAGGTGTTCTGCAAGAGGAACGTGCACGCCGCTCGAGCGGGCGGGGCCCAGGAGCTGGCTATCGACGGCACGCCGCGCGCCGAGATCGCGGAGCTTGGACACTGGGCTCTCGACAAGATGACGCGAGCGTACATCACCGCCATTCCGGTGGGGGTGGTGATGAAGAAGGCCGGGTACTCGGGGTACAAGCAGGACTACTTCTTGGGTCGGAGCAGGGTGCCGCCCTCCGAGAAGCTCCTGAAGCTCCTCGCCGAGCACATATTCCCCGGCGTCGACGACATGCTGAAGGAGGTATGTTAGTCGACGCCCTCGTAGCTTGCCGCCGAGTCGTGTTGCCGACCTTTTCTGAGCTCCCCGTACCCGTGACAAATGGCAGGCGGAAGGGAAGGCTGTCGAGGGGTCAGACGCCGACAAAGCCGCGGTGCACTTCTGGCGCACTCTCCTGATGCTGCGCCGCATCGTCGCCGAGGACCTAGCGGTGAAGCTAGTCCGCACACCATGGCACCCGTACGTCCAAGGTTCCAAGCTCTGCCGGATCCCCCTCTTCCAGCACTGGGCGAAACGGGTGGAGAGCGTCGACACCGAGACGATCAACAAGCGTCGCGACCCGACCCAAATACAGCCAGAGGTAAGTCGACGATACTGTCGCCGACGTGCAGTAGGGAGTGTAAACCAAACCACCGCGGCCCTCACGTTTTTCTCCTCCTACTGCTGCAGGAAATCTCGGTGCGCATGGACACCGAGTACTACAACATGTCCCTCATGGCCCAGATGCAGAAGGAGAAAGAGCGCGCCGCGAACGAGAAGATTGATCTCCTAGAGGAGATCGAGAAGCGCGACGACACCATCGCTGGGCTCACCGCCGAGCTAGCCCGTGTCACCGAGGCACTCCGCTTGTCGGAAGCACGGAGAGTGCCGGTGGCCCCGCCGTCGGCTCCCGCGCAGACTCCCAGCGATGGTGGATCGGCGGAGTCGGCCAGCACGGGGGCTGGAGCCAAGAAAGGGGATGACAAACCCCCGCCCCCCCCACAGACGGACGAGGAGGCCAGTTACGAGCTCAACGTGGTGCAACCGTGGCGGGAGGCAAAGACTGTGAGGGACGCTTGGCGCCTATGGAATTCCGCCACCGCCAATGACACCCGTCGCCTTTGCGACAGGGTCGCCGAGAAGGGATTCGTCGCCCGCCACACCCTCCTCACAGGAAAGGGCGCGACGCAGGGTGGGCTCGACACGAAAGTGCGACGCATGATGAGGGCCATGGATGCGGTGCGCCAGCTACGCGCGAGCGACGGCGACGCCGACACCGAGGCCGTGGTCGACGCACTGAACAGGATCGCGGCACCGGGCATTGGGACCTTCTGTGACGCCCTCACGGTGCTCAACCCGAAAACGGAACCGATGAAGTCGAAAGAGCCTGGCATGGGAGTCAAGGGGCTGGGCCCCAAGGTCGTCTCTAAGCTTCGCCTCGCCTGTGGGCTTGTCGCGCTCAATCTGAAGCCGGCCGAATGGCTCGAAGCCCTCTTTCCAGACACCTGGGAGGAGCAGATGCCGAAGACCAAGGCCGACCTGGCGAAGCCGACCGCACCTGCCAAGTCGACAGCACCGGCCAAGCCGACCGCACCCGTGCAGCGTCCTCCGACCAAGCGCAAGAAGACGGCATGAAGTCCCTCATGGGATATGCGTCTGCGTAGATTTTGGCAGACTTCAACAGCCCCCCCTCCCCCCCCCCCCCCCTCGCCCCATCCGACTGATGTTTCTGGTAGTTTGTAAACATCCCACATCAATGTCCATGCGAACCGATGTTGCCGATGTTGGTTGTTTGTCGCCCAGTACAGTAGGTGTGGCTAAAAATCACTGTCGACGCCGACAACCATGTTTCTGCACTGCTTATCGCCGACGTATCATGTGCATATCATGTCGACATATGCGCCGACTTGGCTCATCGGGTGATATTCGGCTAGCATGGTTATACAGGGACACAGAGTTGTTAGCCCAATATTGAAACGAACAGCACTTGAACAAAAAAAGGCCACATTTAACAAATCTACGCCAAAATCGGCGCCGTCCATACCAATATAGTACACACCCTAGCAACCTAGCAAACATCATTCCGCCGACTACGCATCCGTACTACCTCTTCCTCTTGCTGCCCTTGGCCTGCTTGACCTTCTCCCCCTTCCTCCCCCTGTGATCCAAGTCGTACTCCATCTTCGCGTCACACGGCACATCGATGCCCTCCGCTTTGAGCTTGGGCCCGTCGAGGGGGCACATTCCCCAGAACGCCAAGGTCTCGACCGTCGCTCTTGCGATCATGTCGGCCTCGTCTTCCTCAATGCCCGCCTCGAAGGCCCTGGCCACTCCATAGCGCTGCAGCTCTGGCGCGACGTTATGTGCAACCTCCCCCGCGGGAGCCTGCCGAGTGCGTGCGTGTTCGATAACCACGTGCATGACCATCGCGAAGTGCTCGCCCCTCTCCTTCCCCGCACCTGCCAGAATCGCGGCCGCCTTACCTTCGCCCACAGCACCGAGCACCGACGCCGGCGTCGACATGTAGCACCAGAGGGCGCATGCAGAGGCCGCTAACGCCTGGGCCCCCATCTGCACCTTCTCGTCCGCCTTCCTGTCCGCGCCTTCCATATCCGTCGTCTCTCCCGCGGTCGCCTCCGCGCTCCCGTCGACCTTCCCATACGCGACTCTCGCCGCGACCTTTCCATACGCCGCGCACATCGACACGCGATTCACCATCGCCGACATGTTGGCATTTGTCTCCGCCCTGCCTTCCTCCGTGTCCTCGATGATGGGGAACCACATCGCCGGCCAGAGCACGCCATGAAGCGCATCACCCGAACCTGCGTACCCACGGAACCTGCCGAGTATGTCGTCGAACCTGCCGAGCGAACACGTACACATAGAATTAATGACACCGACTTGGTCGTCAAAACACGGCATGTCGGTAACCGACTTACCTTGCTCTCGGATGGCACAAGCCTCTGGCCCACATCACCGTCCACATCCCGGTCGGCAGGATTTTGACCTCCTCCCACACCGCCTTCCATTCATCCAACTCTCCCGGCTTCAAGGCGGTGAGCTCCTTCATGAGCACCTTGCTCACGTAGCCGTCGTAGACGAAGTACGCAATCGCGTGCTCGTAGGCCAGCTCCATCTTGTCGCGGGACTTGCCGATGTACCGATTCTGGTTCTTGAACTTCATCTCGCCCACCCACCCCTGCCCGTCGCCAGACCTGTCTCGGCGGATGCCATGACCCCGGCGTCCATGCTCTTCCCCCTCCCCCACCTCCTCCTCCTCCTCCTCCTCCTCCTCCTCCTCCTCCTCCTTCTCCTCCTCCTTCTTCTTTGCCGACTTACCCTTGCCGCCCGTCTTCCGTGCCGGCTTCTTCCCTTTGTCTTCCGCCATCTCCTTCCCCGCCGACACCGCCTTCCCTTTCCCGGTGTCGTCCTTACCCTTCCGTCCCGCATTTCCCTCGGCGACAACACCCGTTGCGGCCGTCGGCTCCGCCGAACCCCCTGTGTTGGTCGCCGACGGCTCCGCATGCGCCGTGTCCACGATGGCCAGTGCCGGGGCATGCTCGGGCCGTTTTGCTGCCTCAAACTGGGCCAGGACGGATTCGAGGGCGGCATGCCTGTCGGCGCGGCCGCCGGTGGCTAGCGCTGCACTGACTCCCCTCTCCGCCGCCAGATCGACCACAGCTGCTCCTGGGGAGGGTGCGGTCGCATTTACAGCCGTCGGCGTCGCGCTTGTGCCGGGTTCCGGCTGAGTGACTGGTGGAGCTGCCGCTTTGCGTGCGCCTATATGGGCGCGAAGAAACGCGGACTTGGGGTCCGCAGGCGGTGGGGCGGCGACCGGCCGCGCGGCAGATTGGGCATCGGACGGTTTGCCGGCAACGTGCGGAGTGACGGAGCGACGTGCTATTTCTGCGAGGCCGGCGTCGACCACAGGATGCTGCTGCGCGCCCGGGCGGTGGGACTCCATGCGGTGGAGCAACACCCTAAGCGCGTTACTCCCGGGTGGCCCCTGTGCCGAAGCAGCCTTCGCGTCGACCTTGGCGGCAGTAGGGGCTGCTGGAGCTGGAGGGGCCGCACGGGCCTCCCCATGCTTCCCCGCACCTGACTGGCCGGCGGGCCCGGTGGTTGCCGCAGGCGGGTTACATGGTGTCGACTTGGTGGTTCCGGCGACCGTAGCAGAAGCAGCCTTCGACTTGCCGGTTCCGGGGACTGAAGCAGAGGCAGCCTTCGCCGTGCCGGTTCCGGCGACCGTAGCAGACGCAGACATCGCCTTGCCCTTGGCCGGCACCGCGTCAGACGGCCCCTGGGTGGTTCCGGCGCCTCCGACTTTCGCCGCCTGGGCAGTGGGGGCCGCGTCCTTCCCACCGCTCGCCTGAGGATGGGTCTGCTCGGCGTCCAAAGGCGGGCCAGGCGGTGCATCGACGTTAGCCGCGATCCCGTCGGCAGGTCTCCCGTCCGCCCCCCCGCTTCCGCTTCCCTTGCTGGTCGACCCTCCCCTCACCTTCCACCCCTTCGCCTTCAGCATGTCGACCACGCTCCGCGCAGGAGGCTTCGTGACGCGGCTCCCGTCCGATCCCTTGCTCCGCTTCGAGCTCTCCTTGTCGTCACCGTCGCCCGACCTCTTCAGGCCTTGCTTGTCGGCCGCCCTCTGTTGCGCGGCGTCGGCGTCATTGGCCGAAGGCGACGACCCACGTCGACCAGGCGCCACCGTGCCGATCATCTCGGTCAACATCTTCATCCCGGACGCAACGAACGACTGCTCGGTGGCCTCCGTCACCGTCTTCATGATGTCGGCCTTGAACGACTTCAAGAGCTCTTCCGGGAGGGCGGGCGGCGTGGGCTGAGGCGGTGGCGGCGGCTGCACGGGGAGCCTGCCGGTCACAGCTGTGGCGATGTTGACAGCTGCGGCGGACAACTGGCTCGTGATGTGCTCCCGCAAATCCTCCTGCGCATCGCCCACCACCTTGTCGACGTGGTCGGCCAAGGTGGTGACCGCTAAGGCGCGTTGATACGCCACATTTCCCTCCGGGTTGTCGAAGTCCTCCAGCCACGCCGACGCCTGTTCCGCGAAGGTCTTCATCGTCTTCCACGCCTCGTCGAAGCTGCCGGTGATGTTGCCCGTGATGGTCTGCGACATGGCCTCCGCCGCGTTTCGCAGCTGTTCCGCCGCATACTTCTCGGTGTCGTCGACCTGCTCGGCCAACTCCTTCAGGTGGTCGACGAGTCCACGTAGCCCAACAAAAAACGCGTCCAGCCGAGCCCGTTCCGCATCGAGCAAACCCTGCAGCCGAGCGTTCTCCGCCCTCAACAGCAAGTTCTCCCGTCGCAGCTCATCGACGTCGTCCGACACCTTCGCACCTTCGCATGCCGCCTCCTCCTGGCCCGTTTCCGTCGTTGCCTCCACGCCGACCTCATCCTTTTCCTTCCCCTCACCTGCCGACCCCGTAGCATTACCCGCATCGCCATCCTCCGCTTCCTCGTTCTTCTCGTCCGCCGACCCCACCGCCTCAACCGTGCCGTCTGCGTACTCCAGCTCGTACTCCACCTCCTCCTCCACCCCTTCCTCGTGCGCCGCCTCATCCTTCCCGGCCACCACCTCCACCACCTCATCGTTCTCGTCCTTGCCCTCGTCATCCTCCTCGTCCTCATTCTCCTTCTCCCCTTCGTCCTCCTCCTCCCCCTCCGACTCCGACTCTGAGCCAGAGTCCGTCAACTCCTCTTCCTTCCTCCCTGCGCCTGCCGCATCGTCGCCTAGTCCTCCACCGGTTCCTCCTTCCGCGGACACCGGCAAGTCCTCCTGGCGCTGGGCGGCAGCTGCTGCTTGGGGCGCCGTCTGACTTTCCGCGCCGTCGTCATCAATCGCACCCTCGGCGGGTCCGTCGGCGCCTGAAGTCGGCGCCGCTATCCGGTTTTCGGCGACACGATGGCAGATGTAATCGACCATGCTATCACGGAGCGACCTCAAACCCGCGACCTTGATGTTCTCGATGCTCACAGCGCTCCGAGCCTTGTCGCCCGTCAGCAGGCCGATCTGCTTGGCCACCCACCCGAACGACGTCGCGGCAAGCATGCCGGTGCCGACATGCCCGTCCGACACTGTGCCCGGCACTTTCTGCATACAGCACAGGCAAGCGCGGCACAATATGAGCGGTGCATACAGATACGCGCAGACCGTAGCGGAGCCTAAACGTGCAACTCACGTCGCGGATAGGGTCGTCGCAGTCGGCAAGCCTTTCCTCCACCACTGCTTGTGATGGCGGCGCCCCGTCCCACTTCCTACCGGGACGCCCCAGCTCGGCCAGGGCAGCCGTGCGGAATAGCCTGGAGCAACGTAGTGGAGAGGAGGTCAGCATGAGATTCCCTGTGTCGGCGACTAACAAACTCGACAGCGACGACTATTCACAACTTACTTCAGGACGCGGACGGCCTCGTCGCGGTGCTTCCCTTTTCCGGTGTGCGGGTCGATGTGCCGGATCGATGTCCTGCAGACCTGTCCCTCAGCCTTCAGCACATCTCCTGGGTAGAGGATGGCTATGACGCTGCAGTGTGACCCTGGAAGCGGGCCGCCGCTGCACACGCAATAAACGACGGCGTCGACCACAGCATAAGGCGTTGATGCGGCCGACACTGAAAAACGATGACTGGACAACGGGGTAACAGCTCACGTCGATTTCAGCGGGATAGCGGCGATGTCGGCGTCGAAAGCCTTAGCAAAGCAAGAATGGTCGGCGGCTTTCATGGCCGATCGAAGCGGGCCGATCCCGAGCACCCACAACCGCAGGTCGTCCCGCCCAATGTCAAACCAAGCGAACCTGAGCGCACGAGTGAGCACGAGGGATGAGAACATGGCTGGTAAGCAAACGCTGCCATGTCGACGTGCTTCGTCAAACGCGCCCGCCGACGTACGTCGGAAGACAATCGGCGACAGTGCGCCCTACTAGGGTTGGTCGGCACCGACATCTTCCCTATTCGACTACCGCGACTACCCGCGTCCCACCTGATGGCGAGTCCAAAGCATCTCTCGGTGAACTCTTTCTTTTGGTCGCGAAGGACGGCGTAGTCGTTCCACTCTAAGGTGAAGCTGAGACCGCGACCCATTTGCACCCGAAGGGGAAAGTCGGCCGATGTCGGCGCCGACTTATCGGCGGCGGAGATCGGCTCCATATCTGTCGACTAAGAAAAGAGGCGGACGGCTCTGGTAGGAGAGAGGGGAGGCGCAGAGCTGTCAATGTTTGAAAATCCGAAAGAGATGCCGAAAATGCGGAGCGAGGCCACCTTCCACAGAGAAAAGGAGGTGGTGCCCCCCCCCCCCCCCAGGCCCGTTCAGCATCGCCCAAGGGTGCAGGGCCTGGCTCGGCAGTGCTCGGAGGGCGGATGCGCAAGTGGCACAGGTGGTCCGTCTCCGCCTTGGTAGAGCGTCGACTTCGCGTCCATTGGCCCAGGTCGGCGAGGGGACGCACGAATCCTCCTGCGCGCGGAGCGACGCTACAATCGACACGTGTCGATTTCGTAGCGGTTCGCGACGATAGAATGCATGCGATGGGAGAGAATTCACTTCCGCCTCGTCAAAAATTTCGCATGCGCCCGATGCGAAGCCACGGGCGAACACGTGGCGCCACCGCTGCGAATCGCGAAATTGTCGAGTGTCCCGAGGGGGGCCCGTATTTTCGCACGGCCCTCGCCTGCCCGTCCGGGCAGGCCGCGATGGGTTACTAGGACCTCGCGGGCAGGCAGCACGTGTGGGCTGCCTTCGCGCGAGGGTAACTTTCCAGCTCGCCAGTTCGCCGACCCCACCCGGTAACGTGGGTCGCTGTTCAATTTCGGAGGGCGGCGGTCGTGCGCTCGGCCCAGCCCTGGGCCAGGCTGGCGGGCCCGCACGCGCGTCAGTCGCCCGCCTCGTCAGACCCGGCTCCGACGACCCCTCCTGTCGACACTGGCAAAACCGCTCCGACGACCGAATTGCGCTGAGGCTTTCGGTGCGATATCCGTCGGAATTCCAGATTGAGACAATCCCTCCTTAGATGTACCTCCTTACAAATCGCTTCTACAGCGGCATGGGGGAGTGCAGTTCACACCACTCATTGCTGAGACATGGGGATGCTTGGGGGGGAGTTTTGGACGGTGGCTTAAGAAGCAGGGTGACGCGCAGATCGAGATAGCAAAGACGAAAGGGGCGGCGCGAGCTACGGGAAAGGGTTTCTCGGCTTATTTGCTCGGATCGCTCAAAGCGGCTGTGGGTGTGGCTTTGCAACGGGCTCAGGCGCGTGTGATCTTGTTACGCGCGGCGTCGATGATGAGAGGCCCAGAGGCTGTTTGGGTGGAGCGGGAGGATGTTGAGGAGGAGATGGGATGGGATGCTCCGTGGGCGGATGCACCATACTTGGTAGACATGCGGTTCGATGGGAGTGGGTTTAGGGGGGGAGGTTTGGTTCGATGGGAGTGCAGTTGGGGTGCTTTGATGGGAGGGCTTGATGGTGTTTTAAATGTGTGTGCTATTGGGGTTTTCTTGGGGTTGTGTGTGCTGCTTTTTCTTCCTTCTTCCCTGTTTTTCTTCCTCCTATCATTTTTCCCCTATTCCCCTCCTCCTTTCTTCCTCTCTCCTTTTTTCTACTCACGTTATTCCTCCTTTTCTCCTCTCTTCCCGTTTCCACTCCTTTTCCTTGCGTAATTATGCTACATTGTAATATTTTAAAATATCGTAGCCTAGCCCCAAAAGCAGGGTAGGGAGGTTGCAGTCGGATTGTCCATGCTCGGGGACTGTGGGGTTAGTTGGTAAATCAGATGTTTCTGCCGGATCGGAGCGCTGCCCTGATTAGCAGAGCTTTCGTGAATGCATGACTTTTTATGCTGACACATTTGAATTGGTATGGCAGATAGTTATGTATCATAGGTCCAATTATAATGAAATGTGACTACTGGTTCCTACAATTACACCATCATATTGAGCTAGATTCTAGTGAACTGCCTTTTGTCGTCGCTTTCACGCTTCCCATACGGATTACTCGCGCTGAAGGCGTGTCCGCTGCTGGCATTGAATTTCCCCGGGCCCCGAGCACCTTTGTGAGCTTTGTTACGGAACTTGGACGCGTTGCTATCCATGTTGATAACCACTTTGGGCGGGCTGCTGAAGCCAAACGATGCTGCAACGCCCTGCAGAATTGACGATCAACGGGCGAGGGCATGGGAAATGGGAACCAAACAAAGGGACACCCGGGCTTGTTGAGGGTATGTTCAACCGGCGGGAGCAATGCACATTGAGGTGCATGAGAGCTGTATGCCAGCAGGTATGCCTGTTATGCCCCACATGTGTTTTCACTTGCCGCACCGTACCGTACCGTGCTGTATCGTGCCGTACCTGCAGGTTAAGCCGGTGCACGTTGAACGTGCCTTTGAGAGCGTGCGAGCTGTAGGCCAGCAGGTATGCCTGTTATGCCCCACATGCGTTTTCTCTCAGATACTGTACCATAGCCTGCTGTACCGTGCCGTACCTGCAGTTTCAGCCAGTGACCGTTGAAGGTGACCTTGAGTGCGTGAGAGCCGTACGCCAGCACGTAGGCCCGATAAGCCCCATATGTGTTATACCTCATGCACCGTACAGTACCGTGCTGTGCCGTACCTGCAGGTTGAGCCGGTGCACGTTGAAGGTGTCTTTGAGTGCATGAGAGCTGTACGCCAGCAGGTAGGCCCGATACGCATCCTTGGCGCTCTGATGCAGGTAGTAGTTCTTTGCTATCAGCCGCTCCTGGTGGGGCGAAGAAGGAAGGGAGATGACAAAACAAGGAACATAAACATCTGAAGGCGAGCAGGTAGGCCTGGTAGGCATCCTTGGCGCTCTGATGCAGGTAGTAGTTCTTTGCTATCAGCCGCTCCTGGTGGGGCGAAGAAGGAAGGGAGATGACAAAACAAGGAACATAAACATCTGAAGGCGAGCAGGTAGGCCTGGTAGGCATCCTTGGCGCTCTGATGCAGGTAGTAGTTCTTTGCTATCAGCCGCTCCTGGTGGGGAAAATGCAGGGGTGATGTGCGGTTGAGAGGGAGGGAGGGAAATGACAGCAAGCAGAGGGACAGTGGGGATAAGCACCAGGTAGGCCAAATAAGCATCCTTGGCGCTCTGATGCAGGTAGTAGTTCTTTGCTATCAGCCACTCCTGGTGGGAGAAGACAGGGGTGGTGTGCGGTTGAGAAGGAAAGAGGGAGATGAAAGAAAGTAGAGGGGCAGTAGGGGTGAGCACCAGGTAGACCTGATAAGCATCCTTGGCGTTCTGATGCAGATAGTAGTTGGTGGCTATCAGCCGCTCCAGGCGGTGGTGTGCGGTTGAGAAGGAAAGAGGGACATGCAAGAAAGCAGAGGGACAGTGGGGGTGAGCAGCAGGTAGGATCGATACATCGCCTTGGCGCTCTGATGCAGGTACTGGTTCTTGGCTATCAGCCTCTCCTGGTGGGGAGGACCGGGGGGTGAGATGGGTCAAGTGCGGTTGGTGTGGGTTTGAGAGGTTGTGAGCATAAGCCTTGCCCCATCACCATCCTTGGCGCTCTGATGCAGGTAGTTGTCCTTGACTATCACGCTCTAATACCCCCCAATACCCCCCAGTACCACCCAATACCGCACTGAAGTCACCAGCTGCGGTTGCACTTTAGCGATCTTGTGGCTGAGGAACTCGTACTCGTTCCAGAAAGGCACCTTGGGAACTCCAAATTGCCCTCACATTGGGATCCCCATGCTGCACTGCACTCACTACTCCATCGTCAACTCACCAGCTGCGGTTGCACTTTAGCGATCTTGTGGCTGGGAAACTCATACTCGTTCAGAGACACCTTGGAAACTCATACTCGTTCAGAGACACCTTGGAAACTCATACTCGTTCAGAGAGACCTCGGGAACTCCGTGACCGTCCACCGCTTCCAATACCTCCTCACCACTCAATTGTCAACTCACCAGCTGCGGTTGCACTTTAGCAAACTTGTGGCTCGGGAACTCGTACTCGTTCAGAGGCACCTTGGCTCACTGCAGGTACACCAGGAACTGGCCGGAGCTCCTCCAATACCCCCCAGTACCCCCCAGTACCCCCCAGTACCCCCCAGTACCCCTCAGTACCCCCCCAAACCGGACTCAACTCACCAGCTGCGGTTGCACTTTGGCGATCTTGTGGCTTGGGAACTCGTATTCGTTCAGAGGCACTTTAGCTGCCCGCAGGTACTTTAGGAACGGAAGCTCCTCGGGAATGAGGAAGAGCAGGGCACGGCCACTGCCTCCTTCTCCTCTTGCTGTTCGTCCCACCCTGTGAATGTACTCCTGAGAAAGGGGAAGGAAAGAGGGGGGCGGAAGGGAAACTCGTATCGTTCAGAGGCACCTTGGCCGATCGCAGGTACGCCAGGAACGGAAGCTCCTCTGGAATAAGGAAGAGGAGAGCTCGGTTCGTCCCACCCTATGAATGTACTCCTGAGAGAGGGAGAGAGAGGGAGAAGAGACGAAGAGAAAGGACCTGTGAGGAGAAGAGCAGGTACACAAGGGGGGAACGGAGGCTCCTCTGGAATGAGGAAGAGCAGGGAAAGGCCACTGCCACCCTCCCCTCTTGCCGTTCGTCCCACTCTGTGAATATACTCCTGAGAGAGGGAGAGCAAGAGCAAGAGTGACGAAGAAAAACTTGGATTTATTTGAGCAGATCGCAGGTACACCAGGAACTGGAGCTCCTCTGGAATGAGGAACAGCAGGCGGAGACGGGGAGGTTGGCAGGAGGACAGAGGTACTGTGAGGAGCAGAGCAGGCACGCCAGTAACTGAAGCTTCTCTGGAATGAGGAAGAGCAGCACACGGCCGCTGCCTCCTTCCCCTCTTGCTGTCCTGCCCACCCTGTCACTTTGTACTTCTGAGAGAGGGCGAGAGGGGTAGAGAGAGGGAGGAGGCGGGAAGAGGAAGGACCTGTGAGGAGCAGAGCAGGTACACGAGGGATTGAAATTCCAATCCACAAAAATATCCACACCCTGAACAGCCACGGCTGCTTGCTTGCTTGCTCACCTTGGGATCATCGGGTGGGTCGTACTGGACGATCCAATCCACTGCCGGAATGTCCAGCACCCTCGCAGCAACATCCCTGTCGTGCTGCTACTTGCTTGCTCACCTTGGGATCATCACAAACGCACCTTGGGATCATCAGGTGGGTCGTACTGGACGATCCAATCCCCGCGCTGCAACATCCGCGCAGAGCAGAATGCCCTTGTGGTGGTGCGCTTCTGCTCTTGCTGCCGCAGCTTCACTGCTCACCTAGGGATCATCGGGTGGGTCGTACTGGATGATCCAATCCACAGCGGGGATATCCAGCCCCTCACAATCACGCCCCTTATACTGCTTCAGCTTGCTTCTTCGTTTCTAAGTCATGAGGTACGCACCTTGGGATCATCGGGCGGGTCGTACTGGATGATCCAATCCACAGCAGGAATATCCAATCCTCTAGCAGCCACGTCCGTGCAGAGCAGAATTCCTTTATCCGCGTTGACAAACTCAAAGTAGGTGGTGGTGCGCTTCTGCTGCTTCTGCTTGCCGTGAATGTCCAGCACGGGAATGTCGATGTAGTTGAGAAGTTCAGAGTAGAACTTGACAGCAGCGCATGAAGAGAAGAACACCATCACCTGAGGGGAAGGGGGCGGATGATAAGAAAGAGATAGCGAAAGGTGAATGTCCAGCAAGAGTGAGCGAAAGGCGAAAGGGAGTCAATATAGTTCAGAAGCTCGGAGTAGAATTTCACAGCGGCGCACGGGAATGTCAATGTAGTTTCAATTACATTACACTCCCTCCCTTCAATCCCCCTTCCCTAATCACCTTCTTCTTGAGGAACGTGAAGAGAAGCAGAAAGCGGTCGTCACTGGACACCACAGCACAGCATACAACCAACCCCCCCCCACCTTCTTCTTGAGGTTCTTCTTGAGGAACGTGAAGAGAAGCAGAAAGCGGTCCTGACTGGGCACCACGCAGTAGCCCTGCTCCAGGCCCTCCACCGTGGCCTGTGTGGAGGCAGCAAGCAAAGAGCATACGCACACAAACTCTTGAGTCGACTCAAAAGTCACCTAGCATACGCACACAAACTCTTTTCGCACATGAACAGACCCAACCACGCAGTAGCCCTGCTCCAACCCCTCCACCGTGGCCTGCACACAAAAGAACGCAGAAGCACAAGCGCTGAGTGCCACTCACCACACCAACACACTCCTTACTGAGCAGTAGCCCTGCTCCAGTCCAGACCCTCGACCATGGCCTGTGGGTGACAAAGCAAACAGCATCAATATGCATAACGAAGAGCAGGCAACAGAGAGCAATAATCTGTGTGCCACCTCGCTAACCCCGCTCGCTCCCCACTGTGCTCTCAGCACTGCTAAGCTGCCACCCGTCAACGAACACTCCCGTAATGTGTGCCACCCATTGTCCAATGCTACAGAGCTTTGTGCTGTCTGTCATCAACTGCTACAGTAACTTACTCTGCCCGTCATAAAAAAGCTACACTACCTTGTGCCGCCCGTCGTCGACGCCGATGTAGACGGGAGTGCGGCTGAAGCTCTACTGTACCTTGTGCCACCCATCATCAATGCTACAGTACCTTGTGCCACCCATTCAGTGCTACACTACCTTGTGCCACCCATTCAGTGCTACACTACCTTGTGCCACCCATTCAGTGCTACACTACCTTGTGCCACCCATTCAGTGCTACACTACCTTGTGCCACCCATTCAGTGCTACACTACCTTGTGACGCCCGTCGTCGACGCCGATGTAGACGGGAGTGTGGCTGAAGCTCACTCGCGCCAGGTCCTCCACCTTGGTGGTTTGGGTTGCTGAGAAGAGCATCGTCTGGCGGTCCTGTTATATGTGAGGGCGGGAAATGGGAAGAAGGAGAATGCATGAAGCTCACTCGCGCCAGGTCCTCCACCTTGGTGGTTTGAGTTGCTGAGAAGAGCATCCTTTGGCGGTCCTGTTGGTGGGGAAACAGGCAGCAGGGGAGAGGAAACATAAGGGAGGGAGGCTGAAGCTCACTCGTGCCAGGTCCTCCACCTTGGTGGTCTGTGTGGCCGAGAATAGCATGGTCTGGCGGTCCTGTTGGCGGGGAAACAGGCAGCAGGGGAGAGGAAACATAAGGGAGCGAGGCTGAAGCTCACTCGTGCCAGGTCCTCCACCTTGGTGGTTTGAGTGGCCGGAAACAGCATCGTTTGGTGGTCCTGGTTTTAAGAATGGGGGACGGGTGTGGGAGGGAAAGAACAAGGGAGGGAGGCTGAAGCTGACTCGCGCCAGGTCCTCCACCTTGGTGGTCTGGGTAGCCGAGAAGAGCATCGTTTGGCGGTCCTGTTACATGTGAGGGCATGGTGGAGGGGGGTACAGCACGGTAGAGAAAGAACAAGGGGAGGAGTGCGGCTGAAGCTCAGCTTGGTGGCCAGGCGGCTTAGAACAGCATGGTTTGGCGGTCCTGGTGGAAGAAAGTGCATAAGATGGGAAGAGAGGGAGGAGGGAGGGCAGTAGGTTGAGAATTTGCCGCATCTCCTCCTCAAACCCCACTTCCAGGATGCTTCGTCAATCACGAGGCACTTGAGGTTCCGGAACACAAACCCCTTGGTGTTCTGCAGGTGCTTCAGCAGCCGCCCAGGCACTTTCAAGCACTACTCTTGGAATCATCACCACACACTTACCTAGGGATCATCACACCCTCACCTTGGGCAGGAGATTCAGGACTATGTTGGACTATACGCTTTTGAATTTTTACGTTTCGCGTATATGCGTTTACGTATAAACGTGAATACGTGAAACGGGGACAAATACGCGATACGGAAATCCGGGCAGGGCAAAAAAAAAATCCAAAAACAATTGTTCGCGCTTTTTTCGTACGCACGTATACCAACATTTCGGGTCGCGTTTTTTCCAACCAGGGGACGTGCAAAACCGAATCGCCACGTTCACCCCACGAACATCCACATTGCGCCCAATCACCCCCAACACCGCGGGACCAACCACGGCACGTCCCCCACCCCCCAACCAATTGGTGGTAAGTATAATTGACCCCACCTCAACACACGTCTCATCCACTCGTCATTCCTGTCAGTGTAGAGAAATGTCAACTCCAGTCCCTTCTGCCAACACTCCGCCGTCTGGTCCGCCTACTCAGCCTACTGACCCTTCAGCCTCGACCTCGGAGGCGCAAGGATAGTAGTCATATCGTTTTCAAGCACTTCAAAGTTCCCATCCGTCCCGACACAGTAGGGACTGTCCGCGTTTGCAAGTACTGCGCCATCGAATTCAAGGGTGGTGCGTTTCGATGCGCTCAGCATCTCGCGAAATGGAAGGGACAGCGCTCCAGCGACGTCCGCCTGTGCGGTAAGGTTCCGCCCGACGTGCGAGCGGCGGTGCGCGCGCATTACGAGAAGAAGACGGCCAACCGCGACGAAAAACGGCGGGCCGAGGATGCTGCGCTCAATGCTGTCGAAGAGAGGACGCATCACCGACTTCATTGGCGACGAGTCGCGATGCAAGAAGGGCGAGGCGGACTACGCCGTCAGTTTGTTCTTCGCCGGCTGTCGCATTCCCGAACACCACGCCGACAACCCGTTGTGGCGCAACCTGGTCAGCGCCATTAACAACGCTCCCCACGGTTACGTCGCGCCGGGACGGAAGTACGTGGGAGGTGCTGGGCTTAAGCAGTGCCGCACGAGCATCGAGAAGGGGCTTCAGCCAATCGCCGCGAGCTGGAAGAGGGATGGCGTCACCGTCTCCTCCGACTTGATGACCGATCGGTGCGGGAGGCCGCAGGCGAACGTCATGTTAGTCAACGATTCGGGAGCGGTATTCGTGGAGGCTATCGACTGCAACATGGAGTCCAAAACAGGCGGCTACATCGCGTCCCTCCTCCGCCCCATCATCGAGAAAGTGGGGCCCGAGAACGTGGTCGCCCTCTGCATGGACGGCGGCTCCAACTACGGGGCCGCGTGCAAGGAGCTGATGGCGGATTGGCCCCACATCGAGTACGTGCCGTGCGCTACGCACGTGCTCGACCTCCTGATGGAGGACGTGGGGAAGATTACGTGGTGCAAAGACATTGTGGATCTTTGCATCGACATGATCACCTACGTCCGCAACCACCATTTCACCCGCAACTACCTGAGGAGTAAGAAAGTGAAGGGAGGAAAGGGGAAGCAGCTTGTGAAGCCGGCGGGGACGAGGTTCGGCACCAACTACATCGCCCTCTCCAGGCTCGTCGAGCTGCGGTCCACGCTGTCGCAGATGGTGCTGAGCGAGGAGTTCGCCAACTGGTCGGCGGGGGCTAGGAAGCAGACGGCGGATACGTTCCGCGGCCAAATCCTGGACGATGCATGGTGGAAGAAAGCGACCTACCTGGCGGAGCTCTTGGCGATTCCCTTCAAGGTGATGCGGGCCATGGACAGCAGCGCCAAAGGGATGATGGGGACCATCTACGACCTAATGCTCCAGCTTACCGACGTCAACGACAAGCTGGAAGCGGGGGACAAGATTCTGCCGCGGGCGGTTGCGACTGACATTGGGAAGATTGTAAGGCGCCGTTGGGACGAGAGCCTCGCATGCGCTCTTCACGTCGTGGGGCGGATCCTCAACCCGGCAAATCAGGAAGAGGGTATTTTCCGCAACGACATGGAATGTACCCGCATCTTCAAGGCCTTCATCACACGCCACTACGACGGTAAGACGTTCACCAACAAGGACGGTGAGGAGAGGCGTGCCTCTCTTGTTTTGCAGGAGGGGCTCACGGCCTTCCTCACCCTTGAAGGTTCCTTCGGCCTTCCTGAGGCAATTGCCGACAGGGAGGCCGTGAAGGCAGGCAAGCAGTCGATGGTGGCGTGGTGGGGATGGCACGGGACTGACCACCCCCACCTGGCCAGCCTTGCGTGCCGTGCCCTGACACAGCCGGTGTCGGCGTCGCCGTGTGAGCGCGGGTGGGCATCGTTCGAATCGGTGCACACTGCCCGCCGCAACAGGCTAGGCTCGAAGAAGCTCCGAGACCTAGTTTATGTGACCCACAACTGGCGTGTCTCTGGCGGTGCTTCCGGGCAACATACCTGAACCTGCTCTGCCGGAGGGATACAACAACGAGGAGGAAGGGGAGGAGGAGGAGGAGGGGGAGGGGGATGAAGCAGTGCTGGCCGATGAGTACGTGGAGTAAGAGAGGTAGCAGCAGCAGTGTAAGTGGTTGATGAGCTTAGAAGCAAGAGGAGTAGAGGAGGAGAAGCAGATGAAGGTATGGGGAGTAGGGGAGCAAGGGAGGTAGGGGAGTAGGGGAGCAGGGGAGGTAGGGGAGGTAGGGGATGTATCAGTCTAGTAGTTGCTACTATGTGTGTACTTGCAATGCATGTTTGTAATGGGGAAAAAAAAGTTTCATACGTGGGGGGAAACCGAACTGCACAAGGTCAAAATGAACATAGGCAGCGTGACTCACCCCCCCATACTTTTTTACCCTGCCCGGGAACTTTTTTTCCCCTGCCCGGGCGACCGTATTTCGAGCGTATCGTGGGGCTGAAATCGCCCGTATCACGTACGTACGTGAGCGTACAGTACGTACGCGACTGGTACGTGAGTCGCGTATTTTCCAACATAGATTCAGGATCTGCCGCATCTCCTCTTCAAAACCCACTTCGAGAATGCGATCTGCCTCGTCAATCACCAAACACTTGAGGTTGCGGAACACAAACCCCTTGGTGTTTTGTCTGCACTGCATTGCATTGCACTGCACGCACAGAACAGCAGGTGAGGGTGTGTAGACCACTAGACCAGACCGTACCTTGGGCAGCAGGTTGAGAATCTGCCGCATCTCGTCTTCAAACCCCACTTCGAGGATGCGATCTGCTTCATCAATCACCAGGCACTTGAGGTTGCGGAACACAAACCCCTTGGTGCTCTGCAGGTGGTCCAGCACAGCACTGCAGTAAGCAGCAGGTGAGTGATTGCACACCGTACCTTGGGCAGCAGGTTGAGGATCTGTCTCATTTCATCTTCGAATCCAACTTCCAGGATGCGATCCGCCTCGTCAATCACCAAACACTTGAGGTTCCGAAACACGAATCCCTTGGTGTTCTGCAGGTGGTCCAGCAGCCGCCCAGGCGTTGCCACCAGCAGGTTCGTCCCCTTTATAAGCTTCTCCGCCTCCGCCTTGCGGTTCGCGCCACCCATAACGATGCCGAAGGTCTGCTTGTGGTGGGCCATCAAATCGCGCGCCACTCCAAAGATCTGGAAATTCACGGGCGCGTGTGTCGGGCAGCGGGAGAGGGATGAAGGGGTGGGAGGAACAGGGAGGAGGGCGGTAAGCCGCCCATCACGATGCCCAAGGTCTGCTTGTGGTGGGCCATCAAAATCGCGGGCCACTTCGAATATCTGGAGAGGCAAGAAGGGAGGAGGTAGGAGGAAGGTGGAAGGTGGGTGTGAAAAGCAGGAAGGGATAAGGGGGAAGAAGGGGTGAAAGCATCACGATGCCCGAGGTCTGCTGTGGTGGGCCATTAGAATCCGCGCCACTCCAAAGATCTGGGGAAGGCAATAAGGAAAAAAGTAGGTGGGAGCGGGGAGTTGGAAAGGTTAGTGGACGTGCCATTCCTGGGAGTGAAGTGAAGGGATGATGACCACGCCCCGCCCCACCCTGCATGCATACCCACCATCCCTCCCTCCTTCAAAATGCCCCTGCATGGCGAGTTACCAAGTGGCAGGGATGATGACCACGCCTGGGCCGTTGCGCGGCATGAAGAAATGAAATGAGCCCCCAACCCACGCATCCAACGCCCCTTAGGCAGCCAACACAAACCCCCCTGCTACTCACACCCACCTGCATGGCGAGTTACCAAGTGGCAGAGATGATGACCACGCCTGGGCCGTTGCGCGGCATGAAGAAATGAAATGAGCCCCCAACCCACGCATCCAACGCCCCTTAGGCAGCCAACACAAACCCCCCTGCTACTCACACCCACCTGCATGGCGAGTTACCAAGTGGCAGAGATGATGACCACGCCTGGGCCATTGCGCGGCATGAAGAAATGAAATGAGCCCCCAACCCACGCATCCAACGCCCCTTAGGCAGCCAACACAAACCCCCCTGCTACTCACACCCCACCTGCATAGCAAGCTCCCGAGTGGGAGAGATGATGATAACGCCCGTGCCGTTGCGTGGCATGAAGTTGCCGTGGAACAGCAACTCCTACTCCCACTCCACCTGCACCCCCGTCCCTCCCTACACCCCACCTGCATAGCAAGCTCTCTAGTGGGAGAGATGATGATCACGCCCGTGCCATTGCGTGGCATGAAGTTGCCGCGGAACAGCAGCTCTATAGCGGGGATGAGGAACGCCAGGGTCTTCCCCGAGCCTGTGCGCGCCGCACCTAGCACGTCCTTCCCAGCCAGCAGGTGCGGTATGGTCCGAGCCTGGACCTGCAGCAGAAATAAAGTGTGGGCAGGAGCATATAATGAGGTTTGTTGAACGCCCCTTCAAAAACACCAACCCAAGAATTGGTTGCAAAAACCCGAAACCCTGATGCGTCATTATGCATCTCGAAAATAAACACCAAATCCAGGCTTCCGTCCAGCAACCTCCAAACCCAGAACCCTGACGCGTGTGAAGATCCCCCAAAGCAACATTTCGCTCCGACCCCAGAGTTTAGTAGCGCGTAGCTCCGTCATGTGCGTGAAGCCCATCTTCTCGACGCCCATCTGGGGTATTAAAGCGCGGGGTTTAGTAGCGCGTACCTCCGTCATGTGCGTGAAGCCCATCTTCTCGACGCCCATCTGGGGTATTAAAGCGCGGGATTTAGTAGCGCTTACCTCCGTCATGTGCGTGAAGCCCATCTTCTCGACGCCCATCTGGGGTATTAAAGCGCGGGGTTTAGTAGCGCTTACCTCCGTCATGTGCGTGAAGCCCATCTCCTCGATCCCCTTGCGCGTGCCGTCGCAGATGTGAAGCGTATCGAACGCCACAGCGCTCATGATGTTGCTCCCCGCCTCCTTCGCCGCCTTCCCCGCCGGCTCCGCCGCCTTTCCCTTCTTATCCCCTTTCTCCGCTTTCTCCGCCGCCCCCTCCTTCTCCTTTTTCCCCTCCTTGCTTTTCTTTGCCTTCCCCGGCGTGTCCTTCGCGGAAGCTTCCTTCGCAACCATGTCCGCCTTGGTCGTCCCGACCGCCACCTTCTTCTCCGCAGATCCCGCCGATCCCCCCGCCGACTTCTCCGCGTCTCCCGCGCCCTTGGCTCCCTCCTTCCGCTTCCGCTTTTTGCTCTCTGTACCCTGCTCCTCTTGCTCCTCCTGCTCCTCCTCTTCCTCTTCCTCTCCTTCCTCTTCTTCCTCCTCCTCCTCCTCCTCCTCCTCCTCTTCCTCCTCCGCCTCCTCCTCTTCCCCCTCCTCCTCTTCCCCTTCCTCTTCCTCCTCCACGTCCTCCTCGCCGTCCTCCTCCTCCTCATCATCATCCTCCCCTCCCTCCATTTCCTCCGCTTGTCCTTCCTCCTCCTCTTCCTCCTCCTCCTCTCCCTCTACTCCCTCTCCCTCCTCTTCACTTCCCTCTTCCTCTTCCACCTCACTCCCCCCCTCTTCCTCCATCTCCACAATTTCCTCTTCTCTCTCCTCTTCCGCCCCCTCCACCTTAATATCCTCCCGTGCCTCTCGCATTACTTTCAACCGCTTCGTTTCCTTCTTCTTCCCTCCCTTCACCATCGAACCGCCGCCGCTCTTATCTTGGCCTTTACCGGGAATTAAACCCTCGCGAAAGTCCAACTCGTACTACCGTAATCGTTCACAAGAACTGCTCTGTAAAGGAGACGGTTTTCTCTCCTGCCGGAACGAGAGGAACAATTGCAAATAAATCGACCAAGATTGAATAAAATGTCGACGGCGCGTAATGTTGTGCAACAATCGTTGCTCGGAAGTCTGAAAATTTTACGTCGCAAGGGACAGTGGGAGCACAGCAGAGGGACCCTAATCTGGCGCGTGTTCAATATTGATCAACGTGGACAACGCGAGCTGAGTCAGAGAAATTCTGTGTTGTCAAGCCCTACAGAAAGGCAAAACCATCTTAGCTTTCAGGATCAAGGTGGTTGATAATATGGAAGGGTTTTGCGGGGAGTGCGACAAACCCGCCTTCTAGAATCCCGATTCCCGACGTATTCTGGGTTTTGGACGGATCGCGTGATGGATGGACGAAAAGAATTGAAGAATGTTCAAGGTGGAACTGTTGCAAGGTTTCTCGGACTGTGCTAAAACAATCGTACCGTATATTTGAAACGATGAATTCTATAATGGGTTGAAACAAGTGTCATTCTGGTGTCACCAGTGGTAACCCAAACACCATTCGAATTACAGTTCTGCAACTTCGCCTTGATAATGAATCGCCGTTACAGGCTCACGCCGTGTCACTAGCTGGACATAAGGCTGTCAGTTGGAACGTATAGCGTGTCTAATTCACTCATCGTGTCAAAATAGACCTCTCGAGACGATCCTCAGCCCAAACTGAAGGGGCGTATTCTTCAACTTGGGCGACTTGTAACACGCGTTTGTGGGCCCTGACTTCGGCGTTGACGAGGACAGACTATCGCCTCGCCAGTCTTGTTATCGCCTCTATGCCTGGTAGGCGTGTTTGGGAAGGCAGGTAGATGCCTCCGAAGCTGACTCAGAAGGGCAATGACTGCATATGAACCTTGCTGACACAGCCTCAAGTTAGCTCTTCCACTGAGCCACACTGGTCAGAATCAGTCATAAAGTTGCCTAATATTAATTCGTGAGGCGATGGCGGGGCGGGGACCAGCTGACTGTGACTTTGGCGCTACAGGCCCTAAAGTCCGCATTGATGGGTATCGCCGTGCTGACTTTGGAACGCCTGGTAGGTAGATGCCTCCCCAGCTGAGTTGGAAGGGCAATGACTGGCGCGTGTGAAGCTTGCTGACACAGATACAGTTTACCTGTTAGCTCCAGTCCAGGCTAATGGATAAAAGAGGAGCCATACTGGACACTAGTATCAGTCAGAAGCTGGATCTCGCCTGATTTGTTTCATGCTGCATCGCCTTCCTGGCCATACTAGCCCATTTCATCTGCCGCTAACGTACTGTCACCGACAAGTTCAGATCAACTGACACAATGAGGACTTACATCAAGCTCTTGATCGCAGCGATTCTCGCCGTCCTCCTCGTCTCTGCTGGTGAGTTCACGCGCGCTAAATTCTTTCTACTAAACAAACCGACAAACCCGTGCCACGGGTTGTGCGAATGCCTGAATCATATCTTCTCGGGTAACCTTTCAGTGGCGTGGCTGTTTCTGTATTTCTCTGCTGTTTCTGCTCGCTACTAATACTCGACCTCCGTTTGCCCCTCCAGGTCTTCCAAGTATGGCCGCGGCTCGTTGTCTAAAGGGAAAGGCGGCGAAGGTGGGGTCAGCACCCTGTAGTTTCATAGTACCGAGGTACTTTACCAGCGCTTCGCAGTTCCAGCAGTACAACGGCTACAAATGTTCGGGCCGCCCTAAGTCCAGCACCATCTGTGTGCCGTAGAAATTGGGTGGTATTACGTATCATGTCACACGAGCCTTGCCTCTGCAGACAGGCCTGCATGGGATTTGTACAATGATATTGGAATGAGCAACAGCAGTAGCAACAGGCAACAGCGTGTCTTTCTCAAAATGTGCTTATCTAGGGTACCAAAAAAATCACAATGATTGGGATCACACGCATAATCTAGTAGCGTTCAAGTCTTCAAGCTTAAAGTGCATGCTACCACAAGGTAGCTATCCGACTAGAGCTTAACACCGCCCAACAAAAGCCTTACGGTATGAGGAAGAGAATAAGGTAGTACGGGAGTGGGGGGGATGGAGAAGTGGGTGGGGGATGCGGAAAAGGATGGCTTTTGGAAGTAAGTTGTGTTGGTTCAGAAGGGAGGGGTGGGTGATGGGGGAAAAAGGATGGCGCCTCATCACGATGGCACGCCTGCTTGGGGGCCGTCAAATCCCTAGCCATTCCTGATACGTGTGGTGGGTAGGGGGTGAAGGAGGCAAGGGGAAAAATGGACAGGGCGGGGGGGAGGAGGCAAAGGGGAATGAGCAAAGGGGAAAATGGGTGTGAGGGGCAGGGGGGAAGCAGGGCAACATACAACCTTTTAATTCCGAATACTTCTTCCTTCTCTTCACCATTCCACTGCCGCCAGACTTCTTTTGCTCCATTCCGGGCATTTAATTCCTCACTCTGTAAGTCTAAGTCGCTCGCGATAGCTGAATTGGCTCGCACTGCCGTAATCGTTTACGAGAACCGGTTCCGATACAACCTCGGCTATCTTCCCACCCGAACGGGAGTGATGGTAACACGGAAAGCGGCAGTGATGGGCACAATATCGACGAGGCGTGCGTGATGGTGTGAGTAACGCGAGGCGACAGCGGGAGTACAGCAGAGAAACCCTAAACTTGGCGCATGTTTGGGGTTGGTCGCCGCGATCAAGGCGATCAGAGTCTAAAAAGGCCCTACATTTCAGCCCTAGAAGAAGGCCAAAACCGTCTGGTATGAAAGGATTTTGCATCATGCAACGAGAAAACTGCCTTCAGGTCTGGACTCCCAGACTTCGCGTGATGGATGGGTGGGTAGGAGATTTGAGGGCCGGTCCCCTTCGCTTCAGCTCGGGTCAGGGTGAGGCGAGGAATCTTGGCTCAAGTGCTGTTGAATGATATACATACCGCATTGCATCTTTCCTAACCGTTTTAGCTGCTTCTTTAGGAAACTTCTGTGATTTCTTCGATGCGTGTTCAAATGTACCGCGCCCTAACGCCACTTTCCACCACCTCGCCGCAAATCCTCACATCCCCCCATCCACAACGGTTGATCCCACTGGCAATTCCAATGGTTCATTTTGTTCCTGCTCGTGCCACCACTAGCTAACCCACTCGAACCGAGTCCCAAAGCAAAATCTCCACTCAAACCCACCCAAACCGATCTGTCCATCCTAGTGGATGATTCCACTTGCTAGCCCCAAGGGCTCGTTTTGTTTCTTCTCAAGCTACCAACTAGCTAACCACATGGCCATTTTCATGGATTCATGGCCCCACCAGGAAACCCACAGTCGGGTTCAAGTCGGCGTCGGATGAACCTCTTACGACCGAGTCGGCAACACACGTTCATGGCGCATCTCCAAGCTAGGGTTGCCTGGCACCACCCTTGCCAATGGCGTTGAGGGGTTTCTCCACCGATGGCTTATCAGCGCGCTTCGAGAACGGCAACTCTGATCCATATGCAACCGCGTGGCCGTCAACGCTATGGGCGATCGAGTAGCCCAGGTAGAGCGATTAGAAAACGGAGAATTCGTAGTCCAATGTCATCGAGCCTGTCTGATATTTTGCTTTCTCTGCAACGTTGTCTCTCCTGTAACGTTCTCTCTCGTCCATAGTAGTGCATCTCCAACCTTTCTGACGTACCTTCGGCGACAAATCCAGATTAATTGACATCATGAGGACTTCCATTAAGCTCCTGGTTGTGGCGATTCTAGCCGTCCTCCTCGTCTCTGCCGGTGAGTTCACGCGCGTAGATCAGTTTAACCGACAATCCTCACGCTGACTACTGTTCTGCCCTGTCTCTTTACATTTCAGGACGTAAGTTGCTCCTCTCTCCTTGTTCCGCTACTTACACTCGCCCTCTATTTTTGCTTCTTTTTCTTCCAGCTCTTCCGAGTATGGCTCGTTGTTCAGGAAAGTTGAGGAAGGTGGTGAAGACGGACACATGCGTGGGCTTAATCATGAAGTATTACAAGAAGGAGGCTCAGTTGTTTCAGAAGTACAACGGCTACAAATGTACTGAGCCCCTTAAGGTCGGCTCCGTCCTCTGTCTCCCGAAATAGTCCTGTGTGTGAAAAATAATGTTGAAAGGGCCTTGCAGAATAACTGCCTTCGGCAGCTTGTCCCAGACGTGTACTACTTGTATAATTTACGGATAGTATGCAGCATCTTCAACCCGCGTCTCTGCGTCGCCGCCTTCCCCGCCAAATCCGCTCCGTCTCCTTATTCTCTGCCTTCCCCACCCTATCTCCCCCCTTCTCATTACTCCCCTGTGTGCTGTTCTTCACCTTCCTGCCATTCCCGCAAATCCTGCCGTTCCTGCCACTGTCTTCTGTCCTCCCGTGCTCTTCGATTCCTCCCACCTCCACGTCTTGCTCCCTAAACCCTCACTCCCCTCTTACTCCTCATCACTCCCCCTCCTCGTCCATCCCTAAATCTCATTTTCTTTTTAATCAATCCCCTCCACCTTAAACCCCTCGCTCCTCGAGTTATACCTTTAACCACTTCCCAACGGCCTTTTCTAAGCCCGTTTGCGCAATATTTGTCCGTGGCTACAAGCTAAAAAACAATGGTCCAATGCTGGCGAAACTGAGTCTATATATTTCGTGAAAGTTGAGAAGGAAAGTGTACGGTTATTTCAAATGCAACTGTTTATTGAAACGGTGAATTAATATCATAAACTGTTGAGCTGATAATATGCTGTAATGCGAATGTTACAATCGAGCTTCACTATACATACCGGTACAACACCAGAAAAGAAACCCCCGCCGCAGGTGAAACCATCGGCACCATCATCCTACCACAATGCCCACAGGTTCTTCTCTTGGTAGCCTCGAGCCACAACTGTCAAACCCACACTCCGATTCAAAACACCATCGGATACCGTACCTCCTGCGACGGATGTACCTCCAGCAACCGAGTCGCTTCCGTGGTTCTATCCCTGACTTTGTCATCAAGTACAGTATTATTTCGGCAGAGATGGCTTCACATCGCGCTTCGAGAACGCCCTGTGGCAGGGCGCGGACACCGCGTTTGGCGATTGAATTTCTCAGGCCTAGGCTAAAACCGATATTATTGAGACTGATATTTAGATGTTCTCGAGCTTCACTTTAATCACCACTTGCAGCGTTGTCCTCTCTCAGCCGTAGTCTACGTATTGTGCCTCTCCAACTTCGCTGACGTACCGTCTTCAACGAGTTCATCTTTTCAGCCAGTTCATATTAATTGAGACAATGAGGACTTCCATGAAGCTCCTGGTCTTAGCGATTCTAGCCGTCCTCGTCGTCTCTGCTGGTGAGTAATCGTGCTCATTGAGTTTTAGATGAACTGCCTACTTCATCCGTTATCTAGGCGAACTGCCGACATCACACTGGTCCCTGCCTTCTCATTGTAAAATTTCGTCGGGATCACCTTCTCTCGTGTGTTTCCTTTTCTTGTCTCCGTTCTGCTTTTTATGCGTGCCCTTCGTCTCCCTTCTTCCAGCTCTTCCGACTATGGCCGCTTGTTCAGGAGAATCTAGGACGGTGCTTATCACAGACACGTGCTCTGACTTGATTTTGAAGCTATACAAGAAGCAGGCCCAATTGTTTGAGCAGCTTAACGGTTACAAGTGCGTTGAGCCACTTCAGGTTGGCACTACCTTGTGCTTCCCAAAATAAACTGATAACAGCATCAGAAGGGCCTTCCACAATAAACTGCTTTCGCAGCAATAGACGTGTTCCTGCTTGTTGCTGTGGGATTGCACATTGCACATAGCATAGAGTGTTGCCTACTGTCATTAAATCTTTCTACCACTGCAATGTGTCACTTATTGTCGATAAAAATTCGTTTATCTATCGAATCAATGATGTTAAATGTTTTATTCAGACTCATGCTCACGCATGCCCATAATCACGTTTGCAACAATCTGAAATACCACATGCCATATTTGGAAGGTAAGAATTTTTGTAGATGTATCTGTATTTCGCACTATAGCAGTACCGATACACATATAGAGTTTATCTCCGTGGTACGCGTCGCATAATGTCAACTCACAACCATTTTTTCCACAAATCTGTCTCTGCCGAGCAGCCAGATCATTTCCAGTTCTATCGGAACGCGTTCCCGTCAATAAATCCCCGTTCAGCCTTTCATCAGCTGCAGTTCTCAACCTACGTTCGTTGGACGCACTTGCCTGCACCTCCCCTCTCCCAACGCGCTAGCTGAAATATGGCGTCTGTGCTAATCTTTTCGCCAAGGAGCCCAGGTTTCGAATCTCGCAAACAGACGATCGTTTACCTCAAGCAGATCTTTGATCACGCGTTCGTCCATATCTGTATCCCATAGGTCAGAGGGCATGACTACTCGGTCACAAACGCTCCTTGTGGCGCTGCTTGGAATTCTGATCTTACTTCAAGGTGTGTCCATGCACACGGTCGACTCGATGGATTCTTTCTCTCCGAGCGTGCTAACAGGTTCCGCCTCCGCCTGGCGAATCGCGGCTGTTACTAGTTGGCGAGTCTCGACGTTTTTTATAGCGCAAAGCGGTGCTTTATCACATAATTTCTCTCTGTGGAAGCAAGAAACAAAATTCGAAATACTTGTGAATTTATCCACACCGCCTTTCTTCTCCCCATCTCCTTTCATCCTCACTCTTCCAATCATCCCCTCCCGTCCATCTCAGGTCTATTCACAGTGGCTGCTGCGAAACAACTCCCCATGCGGCCAAAACCTCCCCTTCCTCAAACGAACCTTCGAGGCCAGCCTCGACGAGAAAGCCCGCCGCCGGCGGCGCCAAGTGGCCCAATCGGAGGTTCGGGAGGGGGCCGCTGCGCGTCCGGGCGGACGTATCGCGTCCAGCCCACTGACAGCTGTGTGCGCCTGTTTTACCTTTATTATAGCAGAAGTCCCTCCACTTTCCGCTCTGCTAACAGCGGAAGGCCATGCGTCGATCCGATGAAAGTTGGTTCTTCGTTGTGTTTGCCTCCAAAATAGTCATTCTGACTGCTTGCTCAACGGGTGTTAGTGGTTTTCCACGTATTCCTTCCTCCGCGCCATGATTTGAGAGGTGGTGTGGTGGAGGTTGACAAGAAGCAATTCTCCCACAAATTGCCTCCGCAAGCTCATCAGAATCTTTACAGTTACTTATGGTTCAATTGGCCGAAGAGGCATGACTAATAGTTGTGGGAGTTGTGGGTATGTTAGTTTGTCAGCTGCAGCATGTTTTAAGCAATTTTTTAATCATATGTTAATTTTACACATTTCGGTTTTTCTCTACACTCGTCACCCGATCAACGCACACCAGTGTTTATATCAAACGGGTACCGGTACGTAACAGGTACGTACACAGTGACGGGAGGTGTTTCCGAAGTACTTTCCTGACCGTTGCCTGTACGACTCAATCGCGCGGTTCACGACGACGACATTGTTGGGGGGGACTGGATGTCGCCCAAACCACACTGCGGGTCGCACATTGTGTTTCGCAAAAATCACACCTGATAAAAGTACATCCCTTTCGTCCAATCAGCAAACACAATCGTGGTTACTGAGTCGCACACACGGTCTTGACTCTTGAACTGTCCGTCGCTCGTTCCCCGTGGCTGCCGCATTCCTCGGCTCTGTCGTCGCAGAGCAGCCCATCCACCCATCCACTCATCCAGCCATCACCAAGAAAGACCGCTTCACCTCACCGCCCCTATCTAACAAACAAGAGAACGAACACCTCACCACAGTGTCGCACAGCGGGCGACGCACAGTCCACATGTAGCGAAGAGGCGCGAGAACGGTACAGGTCAATGAAGGTATGGCACTTTCCTACCACAGTGCGCACTTTGACCGACAGCTCAAGCAACGCGTTTGTACCTCGCTGAAAGGCAGTAATTGCGTCTGCCTACTTTGGACTCGCATAGCAGGCCAGCAGAGTCGGAACCCAGGCATGGAGCCGAGTCGGTGGAATGTTTTTTTCGTCTCCTGCGCGTTGGTGTTTTTGCGCGGACCATTTTTCGGGCACAGAGTAGTGGCGAATTACTAGCAGGCCAGATAGATTTACGTGGAGTTAACCGTAAGGTTAACGAGCTACAGATGCGTGCCTTTTCATACCGTTCTCGCCCAGCCTGACAGCACTACGGTAATCACCAGCAATGGCGAATTTATCGCCAGGTAGCACGTTCTCAGCAGCTGCGAGTGCCACGTCAGCGCGCGTGGTGGTGGGAATCGAGGGCATGACGTGTTCGGCGTGTTCGACCGCCGTGGAAACCGCTCTCTCGAGATTGCCGGGAGTCTCGGCAGCGGCCGTCGCGCTGCTGCAGAACCAAGCGCAAGTCACGTTCGACCCCGCTATAGTCACTGAGAACGAGATAGTCACCGCCGTAGAAGACGCCGGGTTTGACGCGAGAATAATTTCCCTATCACGACCATCCACCCGTGCGATTCCCGCTGCAGCTGGCGTTACATCTGCTTCGTTGGTTGACCGCGTGGCAGTGTCAGCAGCAGCGGCGCCGGCGGCAGCGGCGGCATCTGCGGCGACGGCATCTGTGTCTTCCACGTCAGCAGCTTCCGTTCCTGCCACGTCAGCGCGCGTGGTGGTGGGAATCGAGGGCATGACGTGTTCTGCGTGTTCGACCGCCGTGGAAACCTCTCTCTCGAGATTGCCGGGAGTCACGACAGCGGCCGTCGCTTTGCTGCAGAACCAAGCGCAGATCACGTTCGACCCCGCTATAGTCAACGAGAACGAGATAGTCACCGCCGTAGAAGACGCCGGGTTTGACGCTAGAATCATCTCCCTCTCGCGACCCTCGCGACCCTCGCAACCGACAGGAACCGCTACGTTGTCAGACTCTCGTGCGGATTTGATTCTCTCCCCAGGAAATGCGGTTCCGGCTCAAGCTGCAGCAGCCGCGTTAGCTACTCAACCTAATCTTGGCATCGCGACTACCCCTAGTTCTGTCACCCCGTCCATCGCCAATCCCCTCCTCGCATCCTCGCAAACCTTCAATATGCCATCTCAGCCGTCGCAATCCGGACAGCCGCTATCATCATCAGCAGCAGCAGCAGCACCGGCAACGGGTCCGTCGCAGGACGCAGCATTATCCGGCCCGCATTCGCCGGGCGTTGTGACAGTGCGAGTGCGAATAACCGGCATGACCTGCGCCGCGTGCGTTGCCGCAGTTACCACCGCCGTCCAATCCGCGAACGGCGTGCGACTCTCCGTCGCGCTCGCCACCGAAACCGCGGAGATCGCGTTCGATTCCGCGATTCTCGGCGTGAGAGACGCGCTGCGATTGGTGGAAGATGCCGGGTTCGACGCCGCGATTCTCGGCACGGATAGCGGGAGCGACAGGCTGAGCGTGACTGTAACGGGGATGGGAGGCCGGGATGACGTGGCAGCTGCTGTGGAAGTAGCGGTGTTATCGGTGGCGGGAGTTAGGGAGGTAAGTGTAGATGCTAGGAGCGGATGGGTGGAGGTAGAATACGACCCGGAAATCACGGGGATTAGAGACGTGGTGGGAGCTATAGAGGCGATTAGTCTGGTGGGGTTAGGGTTAGGTGGGGAGGAGGAAGGGGAGGAAGAGGATGATTGGTTGGGAGAGGATGGAGAGGAGGGGAAGGGGGAGGAGGAATGTAGTGAGGAGAGGCAAGGGAAAGGGAGAGAGGGAGATGAAGAGGGAGGGGTGGAGGAGGGAGTGAAGGAGGAGAGTGGGGAAGAGGACGAGGAGAGGGAGAAGCTAGTTGGTCGAGGGAGGAAGAGGGGCCCGTGGGCAGAACGGGCTCATGCACTCTTGAAGCTAGTATCGAGAACGCTTAAAACGGGGACGGCGAGGAAGGAGGGGGGAGGGGGAGGGTCGGGGAGCGATGGGGGCGCGGAGAATGTCAGCAGGCGGCGAGAAGACAGGAGGGAAGAGAGGAGAGGAGAAGGGAGAGGGGGAAAGAAGGCGCACTCCCAATCGCTGCGGAGAGAAGAGAAGAGGGCGCACTCCCATGGGCTACGCGTTGCCCTACCCAGCATGCTCGGTTCCTACCGTCCCGATCGTTCCTCCGAACTCCACTCCCTCACGCGCCAGTTCTCCCTCTCGCTCCTCTTCGCCGTCCCGCTCTTCCTCCTCAACCTCTCCTCCCGCTCCCGCCTCCTCTCCCCGCTCCTCTCCCTCTCCGTCCTCCACGTGACGCTAATCCAATGGCTGAAGCTGCTCCTCGCGACGCCCGTGCAGTTCCATCTGGGCCGTCGATTCTACATCGCAGGGCTGAGATCGCTCCGCCACGGCAGCGCGAATATGGACGTGCTCGTCGCCCTCGGGACCTCCGCGGCCTATGGCTACTCCCTGCTGACCCTCGCGGTGCAGATGGGTTCTGGGCGGTACCTGGGGCACGATTTCTTTGAAACGTCCGTGATGCTGATAGTGTTTATTTTGGGGGGGAAGTATCTAGAAGCCGTGGCGAAGGGGAAAACGTCTGAAGCGATTCAGAAGCTGCTGCAGCTGGCGCCAGCGACGGCTGTGCTGGTGGATGTGAATGCAGGTATGTGCATCTGCCTGTGGGGTATTATGCACGCCCATGCAGGTGCGCTTGGGTTAATTGCTGATAGTGTTTATTCTGGGGGGAAAGTATCTAGAAGCCGTGGCGAAGGGGAAAACGTCTGAGGCGATTCAGAAGCTGCTGCAGCTGGCGCCAGCGACGGCTGTGCTGGTGGATGTGAATGCAGGTATGTGCTTCTGCCTGTGGTGGGGGTCGCGAATCTTGCAGGTACGATTGGACTGATGGCTGTAGCTGGCACCTGCCACGGCCGTACTAGTGGACGTGAATGCAGGTTAGTGCACAATGTAAGGCTGACATGTAGCGTTGGTTCTGAAGCTGCTGCAGCTGGCTCCTGCGACTGCTGTATTAGTGGACGTGAATGCAGGTACGGATTGATTGCTCTGAATGCACGGTTCAGATGTAGTGCTGGGCGTATGAATGTACTGTGCTGGTAAGAAGCTGCTGCAGCTGGTGTGACTGCGGGTGTGCTTTCTTTTGTGCCTAAAGTGCTGACACCCTCTGCTTTGTTCCCCTCCTCTTCCCCCCTCTTTTCCCCTCTGTTCCTCCCCTCATCCCTCCAGACGGCAAGGTGGTGGCAGAGAAAGGAGCTGGCTCGCGGCTGCTGCAGAGGGGCAATGTGTTGATGCCTTTGCCTCTCCCTTCCCCTCTCACTGTCCCGTCACTCTCTCCACCCCTTCAGACGGCAAGGTGGTGGCGGAGAGGGAGGTAGACTCGCGGCTGCTGCAGAGAGGCGACGTGCTGCGCGTGCTATGCGTGCTGCTGTTTCCTGTGCCTCACCTCTCGCTTCCTCCGCAACTCCCCTTTCTTTCTCCACCCCTCTCCACCCCTTCAGACGGCAAGGTGGTGGCGGAGAGAGAAGTTGACTCGCGGCTGCTGCAGAGGGGCGACGTGCTGCGAGTGCTGCCCGGGGCGAGGGTGCCCACAGACGGTGTCATTGTAACGGGTGAGTGGAAGGAGAGCTATGTGAGTGGATGAATGGGGGATGGGCGGAATGGTGCTGCAGAGGGGAGACGTGCTACGAGTGCTGCCCGGGGCGAGGGTGCCCACAGGCATTGTGATTGTGACTGGTGAGTACCTGGTTGGTTGTTGCAGGGGCGTGTGCGTGCAGGGTAGTCATACAAGTGGGTGAACGGGGAATGGGGTGGGGGAGGGGTGCTGCTGCAAATAGGAGACGTGCTGCGAGTGCTGCCCGGGGCGAGAGTGCCAACAGACGGAGTGATTGTAACTGGTGAGTGGAAGAGGGTGTGTGGGGGAAGGCCAAGGCGGTGTGGGAAGGGCAAGGGTGTGTGTATTTTTGCTGCAGAGAGGCGAATGGGGGATGGTGGAGTGGTGCTGCAGAGGGGCGACATGCTGCGAGTGCTGCCAGGGGCGAGGGTGCCCACAGACGGTGTCATTGTAACGGGTGAGTGGGGGAGGTGTGATAGGACCCGGTGCAGGTGAGCGTGCTGCAGAGGGGTGACGTGCTGCGAGTGCTGCCCGGGGCGAGGGTGGCCACAGACGGTGTGATTGTGACTGGTGAGTGCCTGGTTGGTTGTTGCAGGGGCGTGTGCGTGCAGGGTAGTCATACAAGTGGGTGAATGGGGAATGGGGTGGGGGAGGGGTGCTGCTGCAAATAGGAGACGTGCTGCGAGTGCTGCCCGGGGCGAGAGTGCCAACAGACGGAGTGATTGTAACTGGTGAGTGGAAGAGGAGAAGATAGGAATGACTTGCTGCATGTGATTGCGGATTAGGTGATTGGTGGGCGGGTAAGCACCGGCGGCCAAGGGGTGATTGGTGGGCGGGTAAGCACCGGTGGGCAAGGGGTGGGTCGGGGCGGGCCGCATGTGAGTGATGCTCATAGCACGCAATCGTCCCTCCTCCCCTCCACCTGCTCCCCGATTACCCCCTTTTCTCCTTCTCATCCAACCCCCCCAGGCACCACCCATGTCAACGAGGCCATGCTGACGGGCGAGTCAGCGCCAGTGGTGGCCTAGGGGGGTGTGTTACAATTCCCCGAACCGACTTTTCCTCTCTTCCTTTCCCCCCTATCCTTCCCCCCTCTCTTCCCCCAGGCACTACGCATGTGAACGAGGCCATGCTGACGGGTGAGTCAGCGCCAGTGGCCAAGGGTGCCTAGGGGGGTGTGCTACAATCCCCTGAACCGACTTCCCCTCTTACTCTCCACCTACTCTTCCCCCCTTCTCCAGGCACCACCCACGTCAACGAGGCCATGCTGACAGGCGAGTCAGCGCCACTGGCCAAGGGGCCATGCTTGCATGCGATTCCCTGAACCAACTCTCCTCTCTTCCTCCCCCATTACCCGTCCTCCCCCCTTCCCCAGGCACCACCCACGTGAACGAAAGCATGCTGACGGGCGAGTCAGCGCCGGTGGCCAAGGGGCCGGGGTCGCGCCTGCTGGGTGGTACAGTGAACCTCTCGGCTGGAGTGCTGCTGCGAGCGACTCAGGTGGGTGATCTGTTGTGACTGGTTGTGTTGTGGTGAGATGTGTTGTGCCCAAATAGGGTCTCGTGCCAGTAGCCAAGGGGCGCGCCTGCTGGGCGGCACAGTCAACCTGTCTGCTGGCGTGCTGCTGAGGGCCACACAGGTGGGTGTTTGGTTGTGGTGTGCATAAAGGACCTTATATAGTCACGTGCCACTGGTCAAGGGGCCGGGGTCGCGCCTTCTGGGCAGCTCAGTCAACTTGTCGGCTGGCGTGCTGCTACGAGCCACGCAGGTGGGAGTTCTGTTGTGGTGGATTCTGTTGTGGTGAGCTGTGTTGGGTTGGGCCCAAATAGGGTCATGTTCCACTGGCCAAGGGACCGGAATCCCGCCTTCTGGGCGGCACATTGAACCTGTCGGGCGGCATGCTACTGAGGGCCACACGTGGGGTGTCGTATAGGCCGGCACTGATCAGCAAGGGGCCTGCCTGCTGCACTGATCAGCAAGGGGCCTGCCTGCTGCACTGATCAGCAAGGGGCCTGCCTGCTGCACTGATCAGCAAGGGGCCTGCCTGCTGCACTGATCAGCAAGCACTGATCAGCAAGGGGCGGCCATTCAGAAGTTTACCCTCTCTGCCTGCTGGTCGCCCCCGGCCCCTGCACTTTACCCTCCTCCATGTTCCCATGCGTGCGTGCTGACAGGTGGGCAGCGAAACAGCCCTAGCCCAGATAGTGGCACTGGTGGAATCGGCACAACTCAGCAAGGCGCCCATTCAGAAGTTTGCCGACCGGGTGGCAGCAGTATTTGTGCCCGTGGTGGTGGTGCTTTCAGCATGCACGTGGCTCTGCTGGTTCATGGCTGGGAGCATGGGGTGCGTTTCCTCCGCCATGCTTCCCCCGGGGGTAGACTCGCAGTTCACCCTCCCGCTTCTCTTCGCTATAGCCGTACTCGTTATAGCGTGCCCCTGCGCGCTCGGATTAGCCACGCCCACTGCGGTCATGGTCGCAACAGGCGTGGGGGCGGCGCAGGGCGTGCTTATAAAGGGGGGAGAGGCGCTAGAAGCAGCACATAAAGTCACGTGCGTTGCTTTTGACAAGACTGGGACGCTGACGGTGGGGAAACCGAGGGTGGTGGCAGTGGTGCCTTATGTTGGTGATAGTACTGGGAGTGCTGGTAATGAGGAGCTTTGTGATACTAACGAGGGGTGTGATAATGAGGTCATATCTCAAGCTGAGCTGCTCTCCCTAGCAGCGGCAGCAGAGGCAAACTCGGAGCACCCGCTCGGGCGGGCGATTTTGGACTATGCGCAGCACTATTTTGTCTTTTCTGGGGAAGGTTTCACCGGGGACGAGACTACCACTCCCAAATCCGCCTCTTCCTCCTCCACCTGCTCCTCTCTCTCCCTCCCTGCTGAGTCGTCTCTCAAACCGTCCAAGGATATGAGCTGGATGAAAGAAGCAACAGAATGTGAGGTGCTGGCAGGGATGGGGATTCGGTGCAAGGTGGACGGTCAGGTGGTTCTGGTGGGCAGCCGGCACCTGATGGAACACCTGGGCGTTCAGGTGCCTGCTCAGGTGGATCTTCTGTTGCAGGCTCAGGAGGAGGAGGCGCGGACAGGTGTCATCGTAGCAGTGGGCGGCAGGCAGGGCGGGAGTGGGGGGGAGGGGAGTGTGCAGGAGGGGAATGGGAGGGAGGAGGGGAGAGGGAATGGGAGAGTGAGGGAGGGGAGAGTGAGGGTTGTGGGGAGTGTGGTGATCAGTGACCCTGTGAGGAGGGAGGCAGCGGTGGTGGTGGAGGGGCTGAGGCGCATGGGGGTGCGCGCTGTGATGATGACAGGGGACAACCGCCGCACTGCTCATGCCGTGGCGAAACAGGTGAGACGGGCTCACACAGGTGTGTGGGTAGGTGAGGTGCGATTCCTTTGTAGCAGTGGTGGTGGAGGGGCTGAGGCGCATGGGCGTGCGTGCTGTGATGATGACAGGGGACAACCGCCGCACTGCCAACGCTGTTGCTAGGCAGGTGAGATTCTATCCTTGTTCTTCAAAGGTTGTGCGGTTTCCTCTCTATCACCGCCATTCTGCTGCCGTCCGTGGTGCTTCCGGCCGTGCTGCTGCCGAGTGTGAGTTCCCATTCTGCACAAGGGCCACAACCGCCACTCTCGCCTCTGCCTGCTTCTTCTCTCCCCCCCACCCACCAGCCAGCTGGGCATTCACGAGGTCATAGCAGAGATGCTACCTGCGCATCCTTCCTCTGTTCTTTCTCTCACTCCCCTCGCCCTCCTTTGGCCCCTTGCTCCTCGCTCCTCCCTTTCCACACCAGCTGGGCATTCACGAGGTGATAGCAGAGGTGCTACCGGCCCACAAGGCAGCCGCGAGCACTCGCTGCAGATGGCCTTTTTCTCACACCTCTTCCCCCCTCCCCCTCCCTATACTGGAAAACAGCTGGGCATCTCAGAGGTCATAGCAGAGGTGCTACCGGCCCACAAGGCAGCCGCCATTCGCTCGCTGCAGATGGCGCCTCCCCCAGTCGACCCTGCACCTGCCACCAGCAGAACCTGCTGCTTCTGGCGCTCCTGCTGCTGCTGGTTGGTGTCTCGTTTGGGGCTGCAAAGGGCCCTTGGCTGGTGTGACTCTTCTTGCTGCTCCACGTGTGCCGCTGCTACTACCTCTGCTGCCGCCGCTGTGGGTCTGAGTGGGAGTGAGAGTAAGACAGTGGTGGCGATGGTGGGCGATGGGATTAATGACGCTCCCGCTCTAGCTGCAGCAGATGTGGGTATCGCTATTGGTGCCGGCACGGACGTTGCGATTGAGGCAGCAGATTTTGTCCTCATGCGGTCGAATCTGGAAGATGTGATCACTGCGCTGGATCTCGCACGGAAGACTTTTTCGAGGATCAGGTGGAATTATGTCTTTGCGATGGGGTATAATATCTTGCTGATTCCGCTGGCGGCCGGGGTGCTGTATCCGGTGTTTATGGTGCGGCTGCCGCCCTGGCTGGCCGGCGCAATGATGGCGCTTTCGTCTGTTAGCGTGGTGTGCTCGTCTCTTCTGCTGCGTATGTACCGCCGCCCGAAGCTGCCGGAGCTGCTGTTTGGGAAGATGAAGAAAGGGGGGGAGTGGTGTGTTGAGACAATAACGAGAAACAGGTGTGGTGAGGAAGGAAGGTTGGGAGATGGTTTCTGTAGGCAGTGTTGGCAGCATGGGTAGACAAGGCGAGGGGAGGGGAGAGAGGGGGGAGGGACGGAACGGGAGAGGAGGGAGGGAGGGGGTTAACTGCTAGAAGCCAGCAGCAGCGGGTGGGGGCTAGACTTGTAGTTATAAGGTTCAGCGTTACTAGTTTCAGGGTGGCTTGAATGTAGGATGGAATGTAGTTTCATAGACTGGGAGGACTTTGGATTGGACCTAGGGAGTTAGATAGTTTGTGTGAGTTTGTTTGAGGGTTTGGCTGATTTGTGTGAATAAATTACTGCTTGTGCAGAAGTGCGTGTTGCATTAAATGCAGTGCTTGTGTGATTTGGATGGACTTTTACCGGTATATATGCTTGTTGATGTACTTGGCTTTGTTACCAGTACACTTGACTGATCTGTAAACCCAGGCTGACTCAGAATGTCCGACTATTGACGTGGCAACGGTTCAATTCGTGGCTTCCAAGAATCTCGAAAAGATGGGAGAAACTGGCGAGATCGCTCTCTACACTGTGTCTGTACGTCGTTTGCTTGTATCGAATCACTCACTGAAACGTTCATATCCACCTCGAGATATCCGCCACATTATAGGGACTCGCATTAGAGCAGGAACCAGTTGAGATATCCGCGCAGTCTACCGCGTGGGTGTGCCAAACGGTAACAAGATACGCGGAGCGACGCACTGCGACTGTAGTAATCGTCTCCAGAGTCTGTAATTGTCTCCAGAGGCTAGGATAATCTCAGTAGCGCCGTGTTTTCCGCGGTGTTCATTTAGGACGCTTCGGTCACCTACATTCATAATGGCAGCAGCAGCGCCGCTCCTGTCGGCGAGCGCAATCGCGCCCGATCGCCTCCCTCCGCGCGCCGCTTCCCCTGGCGCGTCTTCCGCTTCCCCCTACGCCGCCATTCCCTCCGCCAGCGCTCTAAATTCCAGCAAATTCCGCGGGGCGGCGCTCCGCTTTCCGCCTACTCCCCCATTCCGCGCACGCCTGCGCCATGCGCACGTGCCTGTACACGCAGTGCCGGAGGCGGCGGTGGGGGGAAGCGGCGGAACAGCGGAGGCGGATTGGCGGACGAAGGCGCGGCCAATCAAGCCTGGCGGGAATTATCCTGCCAAGGAGCACTGCAGGTGAGTGTGTTTGTAACGAGGTGCCAAACAATATCGCTCGCACACACACCCACACACACCCACACACACCCACACCCACACTCTCACCTTAACGCCCCTCCCCATCTCCCCTCCAACACCGTGGTCCCAGCCAGTGCAGGCTGTGCAACGCCTACTACATACCATAGCGCATGTGAACGACGCACGTGCCTCCCACTCACCCTTGCCTCCTCCTTTCCCCCCTCCCGCTTCTCCTTCCCCCAGTTAGCAACGCCTACTACATAGCGCATGTGAAGGACGCACGTTCCTCCCATTGTGCCACTCCTTCCCTCTTCTCTTCTCCTCATTCCCACCCTTCCCGCCCTCACCCCCGTCCCATACCCGCTCTCCTTCCCCCAGCCAGTGCAGGCTGTGCGACACCTACCACAGCACATAGCGCACGTGAAAGACACATGTTTGCACCCTTTTCCCTCAAACTGTCTCCTCCTTACCCCCGTTCCCCTCTTCCCATCTCCCCTCTCCTTCCCCCAGCCAGTGCGGCCTGTGTAACACATACTACATCGCGCATGTGAAGGATGCACGTGCCACCCGTTGTATCACTCACCCTTGCCTCCTCCTTTCCCCCCTCCCCCTGTCCTCCCCCCAGCCAGTGCAGGCTGTGCGACACCTACTACATAGCGCATGTGAAGGACTCGTGTGCCTCCAATTGTGCCACTCCTTCCCTCTTCTCTTCTCCTCATTCCCACCCTTCCCGCCCTCACCCCTGTCCCATCCCCGCTCTCCTCCCCCCAGCCAGTGTGACACCTACCACATAGCGCACGTGAAGGACACATGTTTGCACTCTCTTTCCCTCACCCTGTCTTCTATGTGCCCATCTTCCCATCTTCCCTTCCCCCAGCCAGTGCGGCCTGTGCGACACTTACTACATCGCGCATGTGAAGGACGCATGTTCGTCCTTCCTCACCAATTTTCCTGAATCCCCTCCCAACCCTTGTTCCCCCTACCACACCAGCCAGTGCGGCCTGTGCGACACATACTACATCGCGCATGTGAAGGACGCATGTGCCTTTCTCGGGGATGGCATGGGGAGGATAGAGGTGCGTGTGGTGTGGTGTGGGGTGTGATATGTGCTTCTCTGCTCTGCTGTCTGTTCTGTGCCTTTGTGACAGTTCTTTGTACTTCGTGCTTTGCGCTCTGTGCTCTGCTCTGTGCTGCATGCAATGATGGGGACGAGTTCGCGTGGGTCATGTGGTTCCGTCATCTTTGACCACATTGTCCGCATTGACCGCATTGACTGCATTGACTTGACTGTGTCTTGCAGCCAATGGAAGCACGGTGCATGGGAGAGGCAGGAAGGAGGGCGATGAGGACGAATTTCACTTCGGGGTGTGCTGCATTGTGACCAGTGACTCGCCTAAACCCCCTCAATCTCCCCTTGTTGACTGCATTGACTTCGTTGACTGTGCTCTCTGTCCCCTTACAGCCCATGGAGGCGCGGGTGCACGGGCGGGGCAGGAGGGAGGGCGATGAGGACGAGTTTCACTTTGGGGTGCATCAGGAGATGCTCTATGCTCGCCGAACACCTCCCCTGCCAGGTGAAACCAACAGAGACGTGCCACCCTGTGACAACAGTGGGTGCACTGCCCTTGCCAGGTGAAAGCAACAGAGACAGGGCTCCACCTGTGCGGTATCCCTAGTGCATGTACCACACGAGCACGCCCTTCCACGTGTATGAAGAAGTGTTTTGAGACGTCTCAAAGCGCGCCCTTCCTTATTCTCCCTGCTGATAATCAATCAGTGCCATATGCCCTTCAAAGCAGCTCCTTCCGTTTGAATCTCTTGTGCCCTCTCTCTCACTTCCCTCTCCTTTCCACTCTCACACTGCTCCTTCCCACGCATGCTTTCTCCCTGCCCTCGCCTTGCCCTCTTGCTACCAGGAGCGCAGTGGACGGGAGTGGTGACGGCTATAGCGCTGGAAACGCTGCTGCTATGTACCGCTCTCCCTCAACCGCTCCTGTTTCCCCATCCCTGCCCTCTCACTCCTTCAACCCTCCCTCCCCACTACCAGGAGCGCAGTGGACGGGCGTGGTGACAGCGATAGCAGTGGAGATGCTGAGGAGTGGAAAGGTTGATGCAGTGATATGCGTGCAGAGGTGGGCACGGGGAGTTGTGGTGTGTGGTGTGTGGTGTGTGGTGTGTGAGACCTGCTAGTGTGGGTGCATGCATGCTGCATGACACTGGCTTGGGGTGCTGACGGTCTGACCCGTAGCAGTGACTTGTGAGTTGACTCAGAAGACTGACGGCTGTAGCGGTGGAGGTGCTGAGGAGCTGTGTGTACTTACAGATGCAGCTTGTGGAGCTGAGGAGCGGTGAGGAGCGGTGAGGAGCGGTGATGGGTCTGACGAGCTGAGGAGCGGTGATGGGTCTGACGAGCTGGCGAGCGGTGATGGGTTGGATCCAACAAGCTCCTCAACTTATTGGAAGCAGATTCTGTGGAGTGGAGCTGCTTCCGATTTCCAGCCACCCGTAACCCCACCCGTCCCACCCTCCCAGTGGCTCGTCTGACCACTTCGCCCTGTGCTAGCGAGGACAGAGGAGGAGGTGATGGCAGCAGGAGGGGTCAAGCCCACCCTCAAAGGCACTGCCATAAGCGGTCATAGAACCTCCTGCCACTTTCTTTCCCTTCCTACGCTCCCATTCCCGCCCTCCCAGTGACCCGTGCTCTTTTACAACCTCTCTTCCACTTGTTTCCCTCGCTCCTCACCCTCCCATCCCAGTGACCCATCTGACCGCTTTGCACCGCGCCCCGTGCTGGCGAGGACAGAGGAGGAGGTGATGGCAGCCAGGGGGGTCAAGCCCACGCTCTCACCCAACCTTAACACCCTCGCTCTTGTCGAGGTGCGTGGTGATTGTGTTTGTGCTGCTTGTGCTGTGGTGCTTGTGCTGTGCTGCTTGTGCTGTGGTGCTCGTGATTAGATAGTCTCTTGAGTGAAACCCACCCTCTCTTCCAACCTCAACACCCTCGCTCTTGTGGAGGTGCGTGCTGCTCCGGGTGTTGGGGTGTTCGTGTGTGATAATCTGTGTTGCATATGAACGTGTGACACACAAGAGTCAAGCCCACCCTCTCCCCCAACCTCAACGCCCTCGCTCTTGTGGAGGTGCGTGGTGTTTCTCCCTATCATGTACGCTGCTTCTGGAGGTGCGTGCTCCCTGTGGTGGTTGGGGTGCTCGTGTGTGATGTGATGTGCTGTACTGCATATGAATGTGTGAAGCACAGCGGTCAAGCCCACCCTCTCGCCCAACCTCAACACCCTCGCTCTTGTGGAGGTGCGTGGTGCTTGTGCAATGTGCTGCTTGTAATTAGATGGTATGTTGAGTCAAGCCCACCCTCTCGCCCAACCTCAACACCCTCGCTCTTGTGGAGGTGCGTGGTGATTGTGTTTGTGCTGCTTGTGCTGTGGTGCTTGTGTTGTGCTGCTTGTGCTGTGGTGCTTGTGTTGTGCTGCTTGTGCTGTGGTGCTTGTGTTGTGCTGCTTGTGCTGTGGTGCTTGTGTTGTGCTGCTTGTGCTGTGGTGCTTGTGCTTGTGCTGCTTGTGCTGTGGTGCTCGTGATTAGATAGTATCTTGAGTGAAACCCACCCTCTCGCCCATCCTCAACACCCTCGCTCTTGTGGAGGTGCGTGCTGGTCAGGGTGTTTCGGTTTGATGTGCCGCATTTGACATTTTTAAGCATACATGTAACGCACAGGTGTGCAGCCCACCCTCTCGCCCATCCTCAACACCCTCGCTCTTGTGGAGATGCGGTGGCGATTGTGTTGTGCTGCTTGTGTTGTGCTGCTTGTGCTGTGCTGCTTGTGTTGTGCTGCTTGTGCTTTGCTGCTTGTGCTGTGCTGCTCGTGATTAAATAGTATGCTGAGTACAGCACCCTCTCGCCCTCTCGTGATTAAATAGTACCCTCTCGCCCAACCTCAGCACCCTTGCTCTTGTGCTGCTTGTGCTCTGGTCCTTTTGTCGTCCCCCTTATAGGCCAGCTGTTTGTGCTCTCGTCTTGCCACATCTCTCCTCTCCCCTCCCTCATCCACCCCTCCTCCGTATGCTCCTCCCTACCTCTCATTTCAAACCCCCCTCCCCCCTTGTCCCTCTGATCTGCCTCCCAACTCGCTGTGCGGCAGGCAGCAGGGGTGAATCGCCTGCTCTTCTGTGGTGTGGGCTGCCAGGTGCAAGGTGAGTGCAGTGCAGTAGGGTGCAATGCGGTGTGAGTGTGTGACACGAGATGCCACTGGCTGTGTGGCAGGCAGCGGGGGTGAAGCGCCTGCTCTTCTGCGGTGTGGGCTGTCAGGTGCAAGGTGAGTGCAGTGCGGTGCTGTGCGGTGTAGTGCGGTGCGAGTGTGTGAGACAAGATGCCACAGCCCTCTGTGTGATCCCCTGCTTCGTCACTCCTCATATCTTTGTCCCTTGAAAGTGGCCCACTTGCTGCTGTGACCATGCCCGCCGTAAGTCTCTCTTCTGAAATATAGCAAGCTTCACACCATCTTTTAGCAAGCTCACACCATCTTTTAGCAAGCTTCACACCATCTTTTAGCAAGCTTCACACCATCTTTTAGCAAGCTCACACCATCTTTTAGCAAGCTTCACACCATCTTTTAGCAACGTCTCTACTCCTCTGCCCCCTCTGCCTTCTCTTCCCCCTTTGCTCCCTTTCCCCAGTCTCCCCACTGGCAGCGCTGAGGGCAGTGGAGCAGCATGTGTGATTTGAGAAGTAAATTGAGGCCACATGGGAAGACATGACCATCACTCATTGTGGCACCGACTTGTTTACGTTTCTTTCTCATTCTTCCCCCACCGCCTCCTCCATCTCAGCGCTGAGGGCAGTGGAGCAGCATTTAGGGTTGGATAAGCTTTACGTTCTCGGAACCAACTGTGGTGAGCCCTGTCGTCCTCCCCGCCCTCTCTCCCCCTTCCTCCCCCTTCCATCATTCCATCCCTCCTCTTGTGTCATGCCTCCCCCCACTTTCCCGTGCTCTGATGCTGTCTTTTGAGGCGCCTCAAAAGCCTTCCATCATTCCATCCCTCCCCTTATGTCATGCCTCCGCTTATGTCATCCCTCCCCTCATGTCATCCCTCCCCTTATGTCATCCCTCCCCTTATGTCATCCCTCCCCTTATGTCATCCCTCCCCTTATGTCATCCCTCCCCTTATGTCATGCCTCCCCTTATGTCATCCCTCCCCTTATGTCATGCCTCCCCTTATGTCATCCCTCCCCTTATGTCATCCCTCCCCTTATGTCATGCCTCCCCTTATGTCATCCCTCCCCTTATGTCATGCCTCCCCTTATGTCATCCCTCCCCTTATGCCTCCCCCCACTTTCCCGTGCTCTCATGCCGTCTCACCATCCCGACGCCCTGGTTCCCGTCCACCACCGCGCACCATCCCGCACCACCCCGCTCCACCACAGTGGACAACGGTCCGCGCAAGGGACTGGAGAAGTTCCTGCAGGCGGCAAGTGACGACCCCGAGACAGTGCTGCACTACGAGTTCATGCAGGACTATAAGGTGTGCTACAGTATTACAATAACTTCTTAGTAATATATTCACTACACCGTGCAGTGCTGCACTACGAGTTCATGCAGGACTATAAGGTGTGCTACAGTATTACAATAACATCTTAGTAATATATACACTACACCGTGCAGTGCTGCACTACGAGTTCAACACAATAATGTCCCTATACTGATGTCTTATTGATGCAGTTCTACACTACGAGTTTAACACAATAATGTTCTACAGTACTGAAGGACCATCCTCTTCCTCATCTCCTTGTAATCTTCTCAAACCCCCCATGCTGAACCCCCAATGTCGCCATGCCACCTCTTTAATCCCCCCATGCCGCCTGCCCATTTCCCCATGCCTCCCCCTCATCTGTCCCATCCTGGCAGGTGCACATAAAGCATTTGGACGGCCGAATGGAAGAGATGTGTCCTTTGCATGTCTCTCACTCTCCCACCCCCATGTCTCTCAATCTCGTGCCTCCCCTTCATCCTCCCCGTGCGTCCCCCCCATTCCCCCATGCCTCTCCCCCATCCCCCCATGTCACCAGGTGCACATAAAGCATCTGGACGGCCGAATGGAGGAGGTGCGTTGCGCTGCCATGCCTGTCACAACTTGGTGTTTGCTCTGGTGGGAGATGTTGCCCATCGCCTGTTGCTCGCAGTTATCTGCTTGCCACTTGCCCAAGCTCGCCCTTGCCACTTGCCCAAGCTCGCCCCTTGCCACTTGCCCAAGCTCGCCCCTTGCCACTTGCCCAAGCTCGCCCCTTGCCACTTGCCCAAGCTCGCCCCTTGCCACTTGCCCAAGCTCGCCCCTTGCCACTTGCCCAAGCTCGCCCTTGCCACTTGCCCAAGCTCGCCCCTTGCCACTTGCCCAAGCTCGCCCCTTGCCACTTGCCCAAGCTCGCCCCTTGCCACTTGCCCAAGCTCGCCCCTTGCCACTTGCCCAAGCTCGCCCCTTGCCACTTGCCCAAGCTCGCCCCTTGCCACTTGCCCAAGCTCGCCCCTTGCCACTTGCCCAAGCTCGCCCCTTGCCACTTGCCCAAGCTCGCCCCTTGCCACTTGCCCAAGCTCGCCCCTTGCCACTTGCCCAAGCTCGCCCCTTGCCACTTGCCCAAGCTCGCCCCTTGCCACTTGCCCAAGCTCGCCCCTTGCCACTTGCCCAAGCTCGCCCCTTGCCACTTGCCCAAGCTCGCCCCTTGCCACTTGCCCAAGCTCGCCCCTTGCCACTTGCCCAAGCTCGCCCCTTGCCACTTGCCCAAGCTCGCCCCTTGCCACTTGCCCAAGCTCGCCCCTTGCCACTTGCCCAAGCTCGCCCCTTGCCACTTGCGCAAGCTCGCCCCTTGCCACTTGCGCAAGCTCGCCCCTTGCCACTTGCGCAAGCTCGCCCCTTGCCACTTGCGCAAGCTCGCCCCTTGCCACTTGCGCAAGCTTGCCTTTTTGCCGTTGCCCCAGGTGTCTCGCTTCTCCCTACCACCAACACACCTCTCCCTCTCATATCAACCAATCGCATGCCACCCACTGCTCGTTGCATGTGGTTGATGCTTGCCCATTGCCCCAGGTGCCCTATTTCTGTCTCCCAGCATCAGACCTGAAAGACGTCATTGCCCCTTCCTGCTACAGGTGAGTGCACACCAGTTGGTATAATTTAGTATAGTTCAATCGCATCACACCTGTGCAACGTGTTTGGCTGGATTACACCTAACGTGAAGTCAAATTTTATCAGAAATGATGTTGTAGCACCATTACACATTCAACCATCCTTTGTTTCATCTGCTTCATCCCCACACCACACCTCTCCGTGCATTTGCCCTCTCCTCCCATGCACCCCTGTATCCCCACTCCACTGACGTGTGCAGCTGCTTCGATTACACCAACGGCCTTGCAGTAAGACCTCGTCTCTTGCTGTCAATCCCCTCATTCGCACTCAAGAATATTCACACGCACACGCCACACGCACACGCCACACGCACACGCCACACGCACACGCCACACGCACACGCCACACGCACACGCCACACGCACACGCCACACGCACACGCCACACGCACACTACTCCTTTGTCTCCTTCGTTCAACCTTCATGCATGTCGCACCCATCAAATTCTCACTCTTGGAATCTTCTCTAAGTACTTCATGCCTAGAACGCGCTCAATTCGTTTCCACTCACAACAGCAAATTCGCACAAGTCACGCGCATGTGCCACTCCCATCGTCAGAGCTTTCATTGGGGCGGTTTTCACTCCATTCTTTCTCCCCACCCCCACTATTTCGACTCAGGACATGGTGGTGGGGTACATGGGAGTGCCCAAGCAGCAAGGCGTGGCCATGACCGACCATCTGCAACTCAGGCCTCACCTCTCACCATTTCGCCCATCCTCTCCCCTCCCCCTCTCCCTTCCCCACACTCAGGACATGGTGGTGGGGTACATGGGGGCGCCCTTTAAGTAGACTCAAATGTCATTTTATCGTCTCTCTGCACCGCTCTCCACCCCTCTTCTGGCACTCAGGACATGGTGGTGGGGTACATGGGAGTGCACTTTAACTCGACTCAAATGTCATCATCTATCTCTCTGCACCATTCTCCACCCATCACATGCGCACAGGACATGGTGGTGGGGTACATGGGAGTGCCAAAGCAGCAAGGCGTTGCCATGACGGACCATCTGCAGTACATCACAGTCAGGTGCACCCCATGTGTGAACACAGCATCGCGAGTCACGACAACGGACAATGAGGTCAACACCATGTCGTACCTCTACACCCACTAACACACCATGACGGACCATCTGCAGTACATCACTGTCAGGTGCAGCCCATGTCTTACCACCATGCCCGCACACTCCATGTGTACTTCGTTGTCCCTTGCTTCTGCACTTCCTCTGCTTCCTGAGACATCTCAGAGGTCTGCTTCCTTCTCCATTCTCCCCTCCTTCCACTTGCATGTTCTCGCTACGTTCTGCTCTCCCGCTACAAAATAGCAAAGCTGCTAAAAAATTGACACCATATGACACCACTCTCCCTCCCCCTCTCCCTCGCTGTGCTGCAGGAACGAGAGGGGGAGGGAGATGCTGGACCTAATTCGCCCACAGCTGCAAGTCACACCCACCGTCTCCTCGGTAACGCAACCCCTTCTTGATTGTCTTGTCCGTTTGAAATGCTTGACTAATTTCGCGCACACCATTAGAGTCAACTCCAAGAGTGCCTGAATTGCCCGCAACTCCAGGCCACGCCAACAGTTTCCTTGGAACATTCTTCACTCCCTTTTTTTCCCATCTCCATTCTCTGTGTGCCACTGGTAGGGAGATCGCCGCCCGTTTGTGATGGAGACGGTGAAAGCAGACGACAAGGCAACCATGGGCACAGAGAGGATAAACCCTGCTCCCAGACTCGTGGGCCACATCATCGCGTTTCTGCTTGACCTGGTAACTCGGTTATTGAGACTCCTAAAATCAAAATAGGAAATAAAAGTGATCGCCTTCCTGCGTGACCTGGTAGTTCTCAACCTTCAGTGGGTGCTGATTGTTCGAACTCGCAGCACTATTAGCGTGTCTGCATCTTATTTTCGATCGCTGTGTCTGTCCGCCCACCATCTCCCCCGTCTGTTTCCCTCCCCTCCTTGCTCTCCCCACGCATCCCACACAGGTGGGGCCCAAGGGCCTCGAGTTCGCGCGCTACTCACTCCACTGTCACCCTTCCCCTCTTCCTCCCCCTTTGCCCTTCTGCTTGCCTCTCCCGTGTGTCTCCTCTCCTGTATTGCTCCCCGCGCATCCCACACAGGTGGGCCCCAAGGGTCTAGAGTTCGCGCGCTACTCGCTCGACTACCACACCATACGCAACTATTTGCATGTTCACCGTGTCTGGGGAAAGGAGAGGTAAGTACCTTGTGATTTGGGCATGCTCCTTCTCTTCTACCCTCTGTCTCTCTTCTCTCTCTCTCCTCTCTCTCTCTCTCTCTCTCTCTCTCTCTCTCTCTCTCTCTCTCTCTCTCTCTCTCTCTCTCTCTCTCTCTCTCTCTCTCTCTCTCTCTCTCTCTCTCTCTCTCTCTCTCTCTCTCTCTCTCTCTCTCTCTCTCTCTCTCTCTCTCTCTCTCTCTCTCTTTTGGTTCCAAGTTTATGCATTTGGTTCTTATTTTTGTTTCCGTCTTCCGTTTTGTTTGGAATGTACATACAGGGCGGAGCAACACATCCCCAAGTATGCTAAAGAGGTGGTCGCACGGTATAATAAGGACGGAGCTATTGATAAGCTGCTGTCTGTAGGCAAAAATTAGGATAACAGCTGCAAATGCACAAGCATTTAGAAGCTGAGAAGTTTGTGTATTCACACTGATCTCTGCTACAATAGTGGAATGTGTAATGGAAGTACACTTCCCTTATAGCTTGGAGAGAACCTGGGACTGCCTTCCCTTCACTATCAGCTGGCTCTTTGCTGAGTACGTCTTGAAGCACACCTGATTGGTTGGTTTGTCCGCCGTGGCAATTCGTGTTCAAAATCTTGACAAATCGGAAGGAAGTACCCGCCGCGATGACGAGGAAATGACGCACTCACTGCGGCTCGAATGGCCACGTGCACGCCTTGGAGCAGCGCAGATAGGCTCGACGAATCGAGTCGCGGGGAGGAGCAGTGCTTTACCTGCGTGGAATCTCTGACGACGTGTTGCAGCTCGCCCTAGTGCAGAGCAGTTTACCAGGTTTGGCTTGGAGCTGTGGGCCTGAGAGGAAACCTTTGCACCGCTCCGTAATGTTGCGAGCCGTCTTGTATCCTTTCCAAATCGACGAGGTGGAGGCGAGGAGGGGCAATGGTCATGCAGTGCATAGCTCGAGCTCATAGACATTCAAGCAGGACAACATTCATTGATTCAGGGTTGTAAGAGAGTTTATGGCCCCCCATTCCAGGTCTTCTTAGAGTTACTTGTTCCGCGAGCCTCTTCCCGTGTTCACATCCTGCTTTAGCTGTGTCCGCTCGCTAGCGTTTGCATCACAATGGCGGCGGCATCAGCAGCATTGCAGGCTTCTGCTGCAGGTTCCACCTCCTTGCTGCGCAAATCAGCATCCACGTCAGCCGTTGGAATTTTTTCGTCTCACAGCTCATTCGTCCCTTCAAACCGCTCCCTGATCCCAGCGACCGCGCGTTCTACCAGATCCCGCAGCTCGCGATCCGCCAAGCGTACCACAACCGTCCGATCTGCGCTCGCGCAAGAGTTCACGGCCCTCGATCGCGTCGACATTCTGTCCGAAGCGCTTCCCTTCATCCAACGGTTTCAACGCAAGACTGTCGTCGTGAAGTATGGCGGCGCGGCGATGAAGGACCCGACGCTTAAAGAGGGTGTGATCAAAGACCTCGTGCTTCTATCCTGCGTCGGCTTGCGCCCCGTGCTGGTTCATGGGGGAGGACCGGAGATTAACACGTGGCTGACGCGGATAGGCATTGAGCCGAATTTTAAGAACGGTCTGCGTGTGACTGACGGGCCTACTATGGAAGTGGTGGAAATGGTGCTCGTAGGGAAGGTGAATAAGTCGCTCGTGTCGCTTATCAATCGCGCCGGTGGCACCGCTGTGGGAATGTGCGGGAAGGACGGTCGTATGATCACCGCGCGACAGGCTAGCGAAGATCTGGGATTCGTTGGCGACATCGCGAATGTCGATACCTCTGTCGTCAAAGGGCTGGTTCGTGACGGAATCATCCCCGTTATTGCAACGGTGGCGGCGGATTCGGAGGGGCTGGCGTATAACGTGAATGCGGACACGGCGGCGGGGGAGATTGCGGCGTCGCTGGGAGCGGAGAAGCTCATTCTGATGACGGACGTGCCGGGAGTGATGATCGACCCGAAGGAGTCTGACAGGTGAGATCACATGCGACTGCTTTTGCGTGGATTCAAAAGGATATTGCGGCGTTGTTGGGAGCGGAAAAGCTCATTGATGACGGACGTGCCGGGTGTGATGATCGACCCGAAAGAGTCTGACAGGTGAGTAACACCATGCGAGGTGAGGCATGACGAACGACAGTAAGCATAGCTGATCTGTTGGAAAATTACACGCAAGGATGGAATGCCACTGAAAGTTGACACACAACTGGCGAGGCCAAGTGGGTGAGAGTCTGGGTGATTGGAATCCTGAAAGCTGGCAGGTATGCTGGTGGTCATTGTAGGATATGGATTGAGATTATGCAGCAGTCGTGTAACCGCGGGGTGCAGGAGTGTGTGAAGGAAGTGCGCGTAAACTTGTTCACATCTTAGCATGTGATCCAACGGCTGTGTGTTATTTCCGGGATTTAACCGGGAGCCATCAATGTTCTTCTTTCCAGCAAGCTGGACTGGTCCTAAGGCCGGGTTGCAGGGGTGATGACATTTGCACTTCCCAATGCCATGAATTTCTACGGTCTATTGTCCCAATCTCGCTTATCACCAATAAACTGTCCCGTTGAGTTCTTTCCACAAACCTCTCCTGATCAGTAACCCTTTTTCTAATGTTTTCTTTTACCCCTCTTGTAAACTTGCACTGTTGACTCTTGATGCACTATGCAGTCTCGTGAAAGAGGTGAACATCAAGGGCATTCGCAAGCTGATAGCAGATGGAATCGTGAAGGGAGGCATGATTCCCAAGGTAGAGTGCTGCATCCGGTCTCTTGCCCAAGGTGTGCATTCCACTGCCATTATTGACGGCCGCAAGCCACACTCGCTGCTGCTCGAAGTGCTTACAGATGAGGGTGCTGGCACCATGATCACTGGGTGATTAGAAGTACAATTTTCCATGTGAATTGATGTTTTGGCTCACAAACTTGTTGGGAAAAAGAAAAGATGCGTATTTGTATGCTTATCCTAATATAGTGAGAGGCTTTATAACGTTTCTTAATCTTGAAAACTATTCTGCTTTTAGAAACGGTGGGACCATTTGTATCGAAGCCAGCACATTCCCCTTTTCGCATGTCCGCTTGAACCCCACCCCACCTCCCGCCAAACCAGAACCTCCATCTCCTTGGTCCGCACTCCGTTCCCGCATCCCCCGCAAGATCACTTTGCCGCCATGGCTTCGGCCTTGAGAATTCCACAGGGGACAATCCCGCTCTCCTGTACACTTAAGCGCTTCGGCCCCGCCTCGGCTGTTCCGAGACCTACAGTAGTGTGTGCGGTTCGGCCCGATAGATGGGACGCTGCCGTGTACGGGAAACTCTCGGAGCGTGCTATGAGGGAGCGGCTCCAGGCAGATGGTTACAGCGTTACCCGCTATGTCTTCCCGCCTGGCACGGAGTTCCCGGAGCACACGCACGGCGTGCACAAGAAAGACAGCATCTTGTCTGGCCGCTTCTTGTTCCGTATGGACGGCACAGATGTGATTTTAGAGGCGGGTGATTGTATTGAGGTTCCCGCTGGCAAGCCTCACTATGCCCGCGTTGTAGGGAATGAGGCCGTGATATTTTTCGATGCCAGCCGCTTCGTATAGCCGCGTATTGAAGGCCTACGGTTTAGTTAGCCGGAGAGAAAGGTGGCGATCAGGGTTCTCGTTATCAGACCAAATTGGTCTGATGGTCTGAGAATCAGACCTATTTTTTCTAGTTCATCTGATTTTGAAGACAAGCAATTTTAGTTCGTCTGATCCATAAGACCAGACATTTTATTTCGTCTGGAAAATCATATTCGGTGTTATACTTCATCTGAGAAATCAGATAGTGCGTACATTTTCGTCTGGCACCAAGTACCGAGTGCTTCCCTCTTCCCCCTACCCCCCCCCCCCCCCCCCCCCCCCCCCCCCCCCCCCCCCCCCGGCTTCAGCCCCCCAAGACCCAAATTCCCTCGCTCTTCCCCACTACCCACCCAGCCGCCCAACAAAGCCAGCCGACCTCGAATTCCCCCCCGCCCCCCCCACAATCTCCTAAGTCTACAGCACTCTTGCCCCTTCCCCCGTGTCCGTCTCGAACGTAACCCAAACCTGTCAACACCTGCCCCACTGCCCCATTCCCGCTCTCGCGCATCACAGCGCAAACCTGTTTAGGTTGTGTCACTCTGTCTGATACAAGTAAAACAGTACACAATCCATTTATTTAAGAAAAAAACAGGCAGCAGTATTATTTCATCTGAAATTTCAGACATGGCTTTTCCCTTCGTCTTAGGGCGTATTCCTATCCTCCTATCAAGAAAACCTCTTATCAAGCTCACACTGAAAAAATCTCTAAACCCAAAATCTCTCGCTACTTTCACCAGGCAAAATGTGCATTCTTGATAGGAGGTTTCTTGATAGGAGGCCGTAGGAATACGCCCTTAAAAATCAGACCAGAAAAAAATCCCCGTCTGAACGTCAGACGATACATTTTTTTGGTATATACTTTTCAGACGGGCTTAAAACCTAGCAAGAGCCCTGGTGGCGATTGCTGGATATAATGAAAATCGACGGTATTACCGTAGTCTGGCGACTTATTCAATTAAAATACTCCCTGCTTTAGTGCACCCTAGAATATAGTGATCACAAGCCTAGGACACGTTTGCGACTGCGTTCTGAAGAGGTGGTTATGGGCTGTTGATGAATTGAAAATATAGGCACAATTAATCAATCAATGAATGAATGAATGGGTGACTATACAGATATCAGTGTATGTCAGAAACTAGTACTGGGAGACCCAGCAGCCTGCCAGCCACAGTACTCGTGGCGGCAAAATTCCGCGAGGCCAAACCCTCTCATGGTAATCCCTAACTGTGCTGCTGTTAGGACTATAGAACCACCCGCCGCAAGGTGGTAAAAAAAAAACTCCTGTGCTGCTGCGTCGCCGTGAATGTACAGAACGAGCCGTTCAGCAGCCTCTGGCGAGTCGCAACCGCAACCGCAACTTTCCACTTAAGCAAGAGCCCACACGCGCTGGCGGATAAGGTCTCTCTCCCACTGCGCCACGTCAGTGAACGCGAAGTCCGGAAGGTGCTCGAATTGCGGCTGGTAAGGACTGTTCTTTGCCAAGTCGTACGTCGCGCCGCGGATGGCATCCTTCTTGGGACCGCACGGGCGGAGAGATGTAACGTGGTCGTACGCGCCGTTCAGGTCCACGCGCGGTTCGGCGAACCAGAACAGATACGCTATCACAGCTGCTGGAGACCGGCCGAGACCCGCGGTACAGTGCACATAGACGGTTTTCCCTTCCGCGACGGCCTTAGCGATCACAGCAACCATCCTGGGAAGCTCATGGCGGAGCGAATTGGGGTCGAAATCAACGGCTGGCCGGCGGTGATGCTCCACGTGGCGCTCCCTGCACCGTCTGATGATGGCGCCGATGTCCACGTTCCAGTACGCCATGTCGTGGTCTTGCTGGAGATTAAGAATCACCTGCACGCCTTCGTCGCGCTGCAGACGGTCTATGTCGTCCGGTGTTTGCGGCTGCGAGCCGACGATGATCTTAGGGTGCACGCGCGTGTAGTAGATTCCGAGCTCGTGGTGATACTCGTACGGATTCGCCATCTGTCGTTTCATCCGGTCGTTGTATTCGAGGGACGACGGCGCGACTTTTAGTTGGCGGTTCTGCTCGCGTTCGGTCATTGTGGATGGGGCCTCGCAGCGGATTGGTGAAGGGCGAGACGGCTTGGAGAGCCAGAATTGGGGAGCTAGGGTGCGTTGTTTGCTTGTGATGCGTTGCGACGGTAGAAGGTTGATGGATTTCACGGGTGCTAGTGTGGAAGAACGAGCAAGTGCTGCAGCAGCCATTGAGTCCTTATGATAGAAGTGAGATTGACACCAGGAAGTCTTGAAATGGCCTATGAAAGCGGGAAGCGGTCTTATGTTTTACTTGACGTTTCGATCAGGTGCAAGCAAGCAATCAGGTAGAATATCTCAACAAACCACGTGACTGAAATGGGGAAATGAATATCCGCATTTTATACATGCGCCATATCCACTGCCTAGAGGTAGGTTTCGGTTAGTGGTGTGGTGTGTGCAAGTGCAAGTGCAAGTCCAGTGGAGTGCCCCCCTCCTCCCACCCGCTGTTGCTGGGTCGTGCGCGCGGCTCACCAGCACTCGCCGCTACCTTGCCGTGCTGCGGTGTGGTTTATGGTGTATGATGAGTGGTTTAGTGCGGTACCGTGTCTGCGGTGTGTGGCTTGTGTCTCGTCGTTTCATTTGGGAGGAGGTTCGAATTCCTCGCCAACCCCAGGTGTACACACACTCTCCAACTCGCCCCACCCCACCACAAACTCTTCCTGACGTGACAAACCACCTCGACCGCAATTCACAGGTCAGACGAACAATTCCGGGACGTGGATTGGCTCTGTTGTGGGAAACGGAAATGGACCGGATAAGGTGCGACTCGATGTTTCCAACAATCGCGATGCGTCAGCGCCTCTGCGATCCGTCGTCAGCGGGCCGCAGCTGTGACCAAGCCAACGTGGCGTGCACAAGGGAACGCTGGTGCATGCAGCAGTTGCGTAAAGCTGACGATGCCAGAGGAGGACAATCAATGACGAGTTATGTCTCCGAGAAATAAGATCTCAACGAGTGTCTGCGAGTGATCCCCCCGATCGCCTCCCGCAATTATGACATGGACTGGCCCATACAACCACAAGTCGGAGCCACTCCTGATGGTGTGCTTTAAGTTTTAAGTTTTATTGATAGGTCGTAACCCATACATACAGTGTTGAAACAAGAATGAGTGATCTCAAACCTAAAAGGTTTGCGCCGAACGGCGCATTCTTGCCCTGCCTAGCAAGCAAGTGCAGTATACACTACACTGGTCCAACACCTCCTTAGGTCGAAGGAGCCCTTTATGGGGGATGAAAATTCTCCCGACGAAACCACGATTTGCGTAGATCTGGGTGAAGTGATGGAATACCCGCCGCGTCGAACTGTAGCAGACGGCGTTGGATGCCGAACTTGATTCTCGAAGCGCTCTTCTTCCGTTTTTTAGCCGAGGCTTTAGAACGTCGTATGAAAAAGATTTTGCACGCCAGCAGGAAAGCGGCGAGTACAGTGTGAAGTGTTTGCGGCTCAGGGGCCACAATCTGCTGATGCACCGCATCACATCGTTCATTCCATAGAACTTTGGCAGCGGCCCCCACGAGTAGGCTCCATGGTGCGACTTGACCGGCAGGCGTGGCCGGCGGGAAGAGCTCAAGCTCCGCCGGAAGCGTGATGCCCAGGTGTTCGCGGGCGGAGTGTCGCGATGGCAGCAGGTGCGTTCCCGCAGTCATTGAAGATGTGTGTGAGAGTTTCCGGCGTCCCATCATTGCACCGCGCGCAGTTTCGACCGAGTGGGGTGAAAGGTACCCGTGTCCCGCAGGGTAGTGCGCGGATGTAGAGCCGATAAAGCACGTCCTTCTGTCGGCTTGGCTGCTCGGTGAGGAAAGGCTGCGTCAGAGACGGAAGGGCCTCGAGCGCAGTCGGCAAGAGCTCATTCCACCGCTCCACGTGCGTCAATGTCTTCTTGGTGTGGAGGAGATTCCGGATGGAAGCTAGGGACGAGCAGTGCTGCAGGAATTCCAGCCTGCTGCCCAGGCCAGCACCAGAGCAGAAGGTGCCAGCCAGCCAGCTGTTGCGGACGAAAACAGGAATGACTTCGTTAAGAGGAAGGAGACATGATCCAGTAGGGTGCTCGGCGATCCGCGTATTGCTGACTGTAAAGCAGCTGAACCGCGCCGTCTTGTTGGGGAAGACCGCCTTCGCCTGTAACACCTGTGACGCCCCGTTCCTGTGGGAAGCCCGAATGGCCCATTCCCCAACACCCAGATAGTTTGGGGGAGGTGAGAATGCGTCGAGGACGGGCCACCACGGTTTGGGAACCGCCAGATAGATGTCCAGGATAACCCTGAGCGCGCCAGGGAACTCTTTGGGCGGGAATTTGGCTTTGATTTCGTCCTCGTGAAGTTTGCGCGAACCAGCGGGCGTGGGGGCGAGGATGTCGCCGAGTCTCAGTTCCTTGGCGAGTAAGAATTTCTCGCCTTTGATGCGTCCGAAGGGGCGTTTATGCGTCCGCACAATCTCACGGTTGAAAGCGAGGGGCTCGGCCATGAGCACCCATGGTTCGAGCCTTGGTGGGAGGATCGCCGTTGGAAGCTTCAGGGTAGCGGTAAGTTCTGCCACTGCCCGTGCCGGTGTGCTGTCAGGTAAGAATTTGAGAATGTCTTTGTGTGCCAGAAAGCAGTGCAGACCATAGGGTAAGGAGCAACACGTCCTGGCGATCTCTTCCTTGGGGGTTGGGAGGAAGCGTCGTGCAGCACGCTGCACGTTAAGCGCCTGCAAATAGCTTGATGGTTCAATCGCCCCCACTCCCCCATGGCGGCGTTTGTTGTATAAGTAGTCTTTGGGTACGAGCCGCGTCCGTCGGCCCTAAGCACGGTACTTGGAGGTGGACAGGAGATTCCCTACGTGGGTGTCGATTTGTTTGGTGACTCCCTCGGAGGGTGGCTGAAACCGCCCGCCGAAGGCGAAGAGGGGGACGAGGCGCTCAGAGCTCAGAGCGGACCGACAGGTGACTGTGGCATGTATCTTGGCCAGGTTTGCAGCTGTTGTTTGGAGTCTCTCGGTCATTTTCTCCCAGGTGGTGGCTCCTGGGGCGTCGGATTGTATGTAAATTCCCAGAATGCGCTCGGCTTGATGGGGTGGCCGAACAGGGATGGGACACGCGGAGGGGACATCTCCAGGAGGTATGTGGAAGAGTGACATAGAGCACTTAGACCAGCTGGGGTATTCACCTGAGACCTCCGCGAAGTCTTGCAGGAGGCGCATAGCCGTCTGCACTTCGCTACCTGAGTTCAGAAAAAGCGACATATCATCGGCATAACATGCCGCAAGCCGGCGTTGTGTTGGAGAGAGGGCGAAGCCAGGAAGAGATACGGAGAGGTGCCGGTGAAGGACCTCGATGACGCAGATGAACAGAAGAGGCACCAGGGGACATCCTTGCCTTACGCCGGTAAGTACGGGAAAGGACGCGCCCGCCAAGTTGTTGACGAGGACTTGCGTGCTGGTACCGGAGTGAAGCAGCTTGACCCACGCCACGAAGGCCTGAGGAAGCCCGAGGTGGGAGAGGCATCGGTAGAGAAAGTCACGGTCGACCATATCGTATGTTTTTTTTATGTCAACAGTAACAAGCGCAAGAGGTAGTTGTCTCGTTTCTGCCCATTCGAGGAGGTCGAGTGTGTCGTTGATGGTGTCGCCGATGCGCCTGCCTTTGATGAAAGCCGACTGCGCGGGGTGAATAAGTCTGCGTAAGGTGAGCTGCAACCGCTGCGCAAGGCACAGCGCGAGCACTTTGTAGTCCGAATTCATCAAGGTAATGGGCCTGAGATGATCTACGAAGGCCGCGTCTGCGTGCTTAGGAATGAGAACTGTGTGTCCGCGGAGCATGGAGGGAGACATTGTTTGCGTGTGATCAATGGCCATAAAAAGCTTGTGGAGCGCGGGGGCCATGAGCTCAGAGTGCGCGCGGAAGAAATCTCCTGCGAGGCCGTCAGGACCTGGTGTTTTTCCACGCGCGAGGCAACGCAGGGCTCGTTGGACCTCCTGGAGCGAAATAGGTGCTGCTAGGCGTGAAACCAAGGGTTGAGGGAGAGATGAGGGGTAGATATGGCTCCAGAAGCTGGGGGACGGGGATGTTTTGTGCTGTCCACTGTACAGGGAGGTGTAGAACCTGGTGCAGTGTGCGGACATGGAGGGTAAGTCTTGTATCTTTTCGCCAGACGGAAGAATAAGGTGGGAGATGAGAGCAGCTTTAATACGGGACGTGAGGCCGCAGAGGAGGGAAGGTAACCCCATTTCCTTTGCACCCTCGACCTTGAGTTTGGATTAGAGCGCTATGTCGGCGGCTCTGCTGGTAATGTATTTGTCAAATTGTTTAGATGTTTTGTCCAGCTTTGCGCGCACGTCGTTGTCCTGTGGGGCGCGGACCAATGTGAGTTGAAGGTGGCGGATTTCGTTCTGGAGATGCGTGAGTGTGTGTTGTACCCGCAGACGTTCTTCCCGGGAGTGTTGACGCAGGAAGAGACATAGCCTTTTTTTCCATGGATCCCACTCCGAGGGACTGAGCAAGGGTGGAAGGAGCTGGCAAGCTTCGCTGGTGAGTTTCCGCACAAAGGGACGGTGAATGAGTGCGTGAGGGAGCCTCCAGGCACGAGGAGCACAGTTCGGGTTAGTGAAACCTAGCAGGATTTCAGGATACCGCGAGTGGTCCGAAACCGTGTGTGCCACTGGTTGGTGTGCAGCTGCGAGGAGGCGTGGGGCCCAAGCCTTGGACACATAGATCCTGTCTAAGCGGGAAGAGGGCGGGTCGGCCGTCGTGCTGCCCGAGCATGACGATTCAAAGGTGAATTCCGCCGTGTCGGGGTGACGGACGCGGAATGCGTCAGACAGGCCGTGCTTGTCTAAGATAGATGTGAGTAGTGCTCCTTCTCTGATTTCTGTCGTGCGGAGTTCTCGGTTACGGTCAATGGCCGCAGTGACAACATTAAAATCCCCCATGACCATGTTTGCTTGTGTGGCAGATGCAATGTCGAGTGCGAAGTCAAGCTTGGCCTCCCACCAGCGCCTACGCTCAGGCTGGTAGTTGGGGCCATATACACAGAAACAGCGGAGCTGTTCGTGAAATAGCTTGATGTGTGTCATTAGGAGCCGACCATCCTCGGAAGATGCACGGTCGAGAATGGAGATGGCCGGGTGATAGATCAGAAATGCAATTCCTCCTGGATCAGCAGTGCCGTTGGTAACCGTTGATGGTGTTTGCGCGTAAGCCTTAGGCCGAAACTTACGAATGAATTTAGAGAAATTTTTTGTGAGACGAGTATCGATGAGAACCAAAATATCAGGCATTCTAACAAATGAAGCTCGTAACTCATCCATCTTTTGCAGCGAGTTGAGACCGTTAATATTGAGGCAGGAGATGGTGATTGGGACTAACATGGGGAGAAGATACCGTTAAGTGCTTCCAACTGAGAGTCGATAAACGTGCCAAGAGGATGGTTAAGTGACAGATTAGTCTGAAGTGACAGAGGTTCTGGGGCCGTGTATAAAGAAGGTTTTGCCAAGTGCAAGTGAGACGGCCATTACTCCAGGTGCTCATAGAGGACATAGATTCAGCCAAGCCAGAGTAAGACTTTGTAATGGCATGATACAGCCAGCACATGGCCAACATCACAACTCCTAACAGAGCCAGCGCCGGGCTCAGACGGCGTGTTGCTACGTACAGATCATCACACATGCGGCAAGGAGCTACAGAAGTGAGGCAAGGAAGGAGGCGATCTCTGCACGTTGCCTTAGATCGTGTGCCTTGACGGGGCCCCAGGTCTCCAGGGCGGTGGTCTCGGTCTCCGTCTGCATGAGGCGGAGTCCATGGCCGGGGGGAGCGGATGTGCGCAAAGGCGCTGTCGAGAGCAGGCCCGCATTCGAAATCGCAAATCGCGCATGTCCAAAGTTCCACATCGTCCTCGGAACCGATGTACAGGATCTCGGGGTCGGCCTTTACAGCCAAAGGCACCGGCGTCTGTCCGAGCAACTTGGCTGGTGAACACGCAAAGAGGAGCGTACAACGCAAGAGAACGAAAGAGAAGGGGGGTTTTGGCAGACAAGGTCCACTCCTGATGGTGTGCATGCACGAACCAGCTAGCACCTGAATCTACGAAAAGGCGAGCCCATACCCCTTAATGAGGCATGCGAGACTGCGCTGGTTACAGTGCGGTAGTGAGGAACTTTTTAAAATACCGGTCCAATACTCTGGCTGGTTCTTTCACGAGCACAAATCCATTCTAACGCATTCCACCCCACAACATTAAACAAGAGGAACAAAAATTTTCACTCCCTACGTCAATTGGTCTCATTCCACCAATCCTCTATTAAAAATATAACTGATGGATACTGTAATTGGCTAGTTACTTCTGCTGCAAATTTGCATATGAAATTATATAAGCAGGATGATAGCATATTCGAATGCATAATTTTGAGTTGAAATGTTATGCTTGCAGCATTGTGGATGAAGAAAGGAAGGAGAATAAGTCTCCGTATAGGAAAGGTATTTATATAACGGTGTAAGAAATGTTTGGATAGTACTGTATGAAGTGTTATTCATTTTGCCACTGCTCAGATTGGCCTAGTCCTGCCGACAAGCTATTTTGTCGTTTTACGTCAACATCCCACCGACACCCAGGAGACTATTCTGTCAGTATGCAAACGCGTTTCGCATCACGTCTGTTTCGGCCAACTTCATTGATACTCAAATTATGCCTGACGCGGTTTGCAAGCGTACTCAACTTCGATTTCTCATCGCTGATTGGTTCTCGTTTTTCAATCACACTTTTCAGGCCGAAAACACCTCCGAAATGTGATAGAAACGGAACGCGATAACCGAACTTAACTAGACAATATTATGTGGAGGTGCTACCTTACAGTAGAGAAAAAAGCATTGAATAGTCAACCCTTTACAAATAAAATTTGTATAAAGCGCGAATTTCGTTAAGATAAAAAGCCCATAGGAAAAAATGCAGACGAGGAATAACTTACTGGAATAGGGTCGACGACATAATGCGACAAGGTTTTAAGGGTTGATGCCATCCTTACTGGATGCCTTTCAGTAGGAGGGCTGTTATTTATTGCCTTTCGAGTAGCAAGCTCCGCTGGGAGGTGTTCTTTGTTCTAGCATATAAACCTAAACACTAGACGACATTCCGTATTTAGGGTTGACATTACCAGATTATTTCTTGGTTATCCAAGCGTTTTAGTATGTTTCCTTTTTGGTTGGGTATGTGCGGACCTGCTGGTGGCGACTTTGTTTCAATATTGTGCTTATAATGTTTAAAAAAGTATTTGTACTGACTATACTGCGAAATTATTGGTTGAGTACGCTTGCAAACCGCGTCAGGCATAATTTGAGTATCAATGAAGTTGGCCGCGGCTGTTTGATAATTGTGCAGAAGCTGGCCTTCGCGGTTCGCGATGTGCGAGGGGACGTCCCATCATTTTCCTCCAGTCTGCATCGGACGGCTTCAAACCGGTCACAGCGAGGGAAGCCAGCGTCTGATAGGTGAGAAATCTTCAGGGCAGCCAGCTACGTTCGTTGTCGAGTCGAGGAGGGTTGATCAGGAAGATTGTCGGTTGAAGTACAGTGCACCATCTCGAGGTGTGGTGGAGGGACGGTGAGAAGGTGCGGCTTGCCTTTCGCAAGAATTGGACGTTGGTCGGTGTCGTTTTTGTGTTCCACCTAGTGGCGGTACATCCGCCCGACCCAGCTCTTCCCCTTCCGCACTAGCGCTCGGGCAAACTCCCGCATCCCCCTCTCCTCCCCCCCCTTCAATACAGTACCCTCACCTCATGCGAGTCAAACCCAAGAATCCCAACCATGTGTTGTCGAACCGTTTCAACCGAACCAGCCTCCAAGGCAAAGCCTCCTTGCCTCGTCCCCGTGCCCTTGTCTGCATCCCATTGGACGAGCTAGTGTTTTCGCCGAGTGCACGCCCGATCACTTCACCGCACCCCTCCTCATCAGCAGCCGCCAACCGCCATTCGCCAGGGGCGGAGCAATGCATGCATGGTTAGCCTCTGCTCTGCTCTCCCATCCCCGCCCTTCCCCATCCCCTCCCCACCCCAATTTTGCCCCCTCTCCACGCGCAATCAGCCGCCTGGCGCAGCAGCAATCTGACCAGCGATCAGCGCACATTCCCCCGTAACCCCCTCAAATTCCCCCCTCTCCCCCCATTCAGTTTCAGTTTCCGTACCTGTCGCCTCTGTGCACCAGCCAAGCCTCCACTCCGCCCCACCATGAACCTTCCACCGTCAATTGCCGCCTCAAACCAGTCGGTACGCGGTTTCCTCCTCCCCCGTCCCTCCCCCTCTATTCCTCACCTCCCCACCCCACTCGTCCCGCTCGCCCCGCTTCATCTGTCCTGTCCATTCTTCCTCCACCTTCATATTCCTGAAACCCTTGCTCAGTCGCCAATCTCCTCTCCCACAACCATTTTCATTCTCCCTGGTTCTTCCAAGATTTTCCCATTTGTGAGCTGTCTGTATTGTTGACTCGGCTTACACTAGTCTCTAAGGCGTTGTCATTTATAGAAAGCACAACAGCGTAGTAGTACGAATAATCGCTCGTATACCACTCTAGGTTTATTTTCGTAGATCCATCCAAAATGCATAAGAATCAGCTTCAGGAGGTGGCGCAGAAAAACGGATACAACCTTCCCTCATACGCATGCATACGCGAAGGTCCAGACCACGCACCTAAGTTCAAAGCCACGGTGCTTTTCAATGGCGAAACCTACGTAAGCCCGGGCTATTTCGTATCGCTCCGCCAGGCGGAGCACGCAGCAGCCGAGGTGGCCCTTAAAAGCCTTTCCGAGTCCTGCCCGTCGCAGTCTATCACGACAGTGCTCGACGAATCAGGCGTTTGCAAAAACTTGTTACAAGAAACGGCTCAGCGCGCCGGCGTGCCGCTGCCGAATTACAACACGGTGCGGTCGGGTCCCGGGCACCAGCCGGTGTTCACATGCACGCTCGAAGTCGCGGGGCTGCAGTTCTCCGGAGAGGCGGGGCGCACGAAGAAGCAGGCGGAGAAGAACGCCGCGATGTCCGCCTGGTCCGCGCTGAAACGACGTAAGTTCCTTTTATTGTCCAGCAACCATCACTGCTCTCTCTCGTCAGTACCGTTTTCCCTTGAAGCTCTCATGCGG